TCCGCTTCCGCCGCGGACCCCCTTTTTCCTGGGTCGCGGGCTCCTCAATCGGTTGATGCACGCCCTCAACGGGAACATCAACGGCTGGTGGGGCCTGGCGGCTGCAGCGTCGGCGCCGATTGCCTTGCAGTTGCACCGCGGGGCTGTGCATGTTGTCGAGGACTCCATGCACGCGGTTGCAACAATTTCGGCCGACGTGGTCGAGGAAATCGGTCATGGGGCCAGGCGGACAGTGTGGGTCGCCGGAACAGCCATCACTCTGGTAGTAGTGATCTTGTGCAGCGCTGTTCTGTGGTACGTGAGTCGTGCCGTTGCCAATCGCATTGCGCATCTGCGACATGGCAACACCGCGGCCCCTGAGGCGCGGCTGTCTCAACTCCTTGGCTCTGAAGCGACGTTTGAGGTCGCGAGCACTAAGAAAGGGGTGACCCATAAAGTTTGGGTGCACCTCAAGGAGGAGACAGCTGCCTGTGGCTGTCGTGCTTACCTAGCAGAGGGACGTTGCGGGCATTGCGATGCCGCAATGGACACCGCTCGATCCCTAGGGTTTTTGCACGCGGCCCAGCGAGGCGCGGGTCCTGCGCTCACAGACTCCATTCGGAGTACCGCCTCCGAAGCCCTGGCTAAGGGTAAGGTTGTGTTGGGTTTGGGGAACAGTGAAGGATGTTTCTCCCAACTTGCGGCCAAGAGCCGCGGGCTCTCCTGCTTTCAGGGGCTCGCGGGTCGTGACCTGGCCGCGGCCCCAGCAGATGGAGCGAGCGCAGCCCACGCACAGTCCGGCTTCGTGCAACGTGCCGCCACTGCCACTGTGGCGCGCACACCCAGCCGGAGGAACAAGGGCCCAGTCCCCGCTAGGAGTTCTCCAGTCAAAGAAGCGGAATTCCTTGCGGGCGGGCCATACGTTCAGGCCGCCCAAACGCTGCTTGGGTCTGGAGCAGCAGAGGATGTGATCTACATCCGGGCGTACAGCTTAGATTGCCCATCCTGCATCGAGGCAATCGAAGCGTCGCTTAGCAAGGGCGCAGGCGTTCGGATTGTCGCCGACATGGGACAATGCCACCGCACCAAACTGCAGTGGCAAGCGTTGAAACGCTTGGCGGCTGCAGGCGCCGAGGTGAAGGTGGGTTGCGGCTCATCCGTGCGCGACGCCTATGCTCGCGACGGCCGCGGGGCTAAAGTAGGTACCGGTATCCAAGGGCTTCACCATGCCAAGGCCCTTTGCCTACTGCGGCCTGATGGCGCGGTGGTGCTGATTGGGAGCCTCAATTTTACCACAAGCAGCAAAGCCAATGCGGAGGCAGGGCTTAGGCTTGAGGTCGCCAAGACGCACCCGGTCGCGCAGTCCTATATCGAGGATTTCCAGAGGGTGTCGGCTGAGGCATTCTCCCTCGATGAGGCGGTCGCAAAGCGCCCTCAGTTGGAGCGAGCCAGCAGCTCCAACGTTGCTGGCAACGCCACTCGTGCCCTCAGCACTGCTCCACAGGGTATCGAGTAGGCTGCGGCCAGTCGGCGCGGCGTGGTATGCATCCACGCATTATCAGAGCAGGCGTTGCAGCACGGCACGTTGCTTCGCCAACCTTTTGCATTTTCTTTTGCTTGACTGCGGGTGAAAAGCCGCGGCAGGTTGGAAACCTGCCCATTTTGCATTCCCCGCACCTTTCTCCTCCGCCCTGCCTGTGGCCCCTCGTGCTGAGGGTGCTCTTTTGCAGGTGCTGCGGACCGTGTCCTGGTCGCGGCAATGCGCTCGCCGAAGCGCGTGTGAGCTGCATTGCCTGCGGCACAAGCCATGTGCGCGGCTCTCGCTGAGTCTGGTAGCCCGTAGGGTAGTTCCGGATAGGTGAGTAGCCGTAGCCGTAGCTTAGGACCGGCCGTGTACAGTGTACCATCTGTACCATAGATTTCAGTGTCTGCCGTAGCAGTCCTCAAGGCACTCAGTGGGCTCTGTGTACTGGAGCCTCGACTCAGGTCATGCAAAAGACCGGTCCGCCTGGTTTAGGCTGGTCTTGGAGGGTCGCTCGTTTGGGTCGTCTCGTTTCGCGTGTCTTCGTTTGCGGGCTTGCGCCCAAAGCCGCGACGGACGCCCGCCCTCCTTGTGGAAGTCACTCACCGGAGCCTCGGCTGAGGGGCGAATGTGAGCTGACATGAGTGCATATGCATCTTCTGCTCTGTGATGCATTAGGACTCGGCAGACCACCTTGTAGTTTTCCTTTGCATGTAGAGTTTTGCAATTCGTAACAATGCCAATATTTTGGCTCAAGTACCGAGCTTGTGCCTTTGAGCACGGTAGAGTCGTACAGTAGCTCCTAGGTTGCTGTGCGGTCCGACCGGACGCACTCAGGCGTAGCTGCACAAGTGCTTGGACTCACGAAGTCGTAAAACAGCGTGACCGGGCTGTGATTGCATTGGCTTAGTGCAAGTCCAGTGCTGGTCGACTTCACAGTCTATCTATCTATCTATATGTACATGTATATGTGTATATATGTACGTATATACATATATATATGTATATATATATATATATATAAATATACGTATGGTTTCCGAGCCTGTGATGTCTTCGCGTTGCATCCCCAACTCTTCCCCATCAATAGATTCGACAAAGTCTCCTGAGTGCTTTGCGCTTTGGCTTTCGCACTTTTGTTCAGTAACTTGGCATCTCGTGACTGGGCATCTAGAATATGCGCTGCTCCAGCAGCTAGCGATCCTGAAATCGACGACCTCCCATCTCAGAGTTCTGGATTTTGATCCAGCCGATAGCATTGGAGTTGATATACCCCGCGGAGATATGATCTTACAGGCGGCCACGCACGCTGCGTGCACGCCCGTTGCTTGCGATTTGCGGCGCCGGCGGCGCGAAAACCTAGTTTTTGCAAAATGTTGTTGGCGCAACAAAATTTATCAGCATTGTTCGTAGAACATTGTGTTCCGGAAAACGTTGTTTGTGCGCAAAAAGTACCATCATGTTGGGGCTATCAGGCTAGTATACCGGCGATGGTGCGACCACCACTAGCATTGCACCACTTTAAACATTTTGTCCCGCCCGGTGATTTTCCTATTCCCACGAGGCCACGAGGGATCTGTAAACCTCCACAGGGAGCAGATGCGTGTGCTACTTCTCAGCCGAAATTGTACAAACCAGGGCCCTTTCTGAGACTTCAATTCCCTGCCTGTACATCTCAAAATGTCAGATGCGAAGTTGTCGGCACGAACATCCATGGTGAACCCGTGCCCGTGTGTACCACACTTCGTGTTGGAGCTGTTGCATGAGCGGTGGTGTCCCTCGAAAAGTCAAAGTCAAACTGCACACAAGTCCGATAAGAATGAGGATTCCCAAAATAAGTTGATACTTGCCAAGTCCTGTGGCTAGTCCAACAAAGGTCAAAACGAACCATCGCACAGACATCTAAAGCTCGGAAACCAGCGCAAGCTCAAGACGCAAGCCATGGACGGTTACATCCACAAGGGAACCTCCTCCAGAAGTACGAAGCAACAACGAACAAGTGTGCGATTGGTGAGGTTTCAAGCCGGACGATGAAGCGTCTTGGCAAGTTGATGACTCTTTGTTTAGGATGGGCGTCCATTTAGAGCTGTGACGTTGGGATGTTACCCTACTATCAGTCCTTAGTAGGGATTCTAGTACCTCCTATTCTAATCCATATTTAACGACTGTTTGTTTCAGGGAGAATCCCAACGATGTTGCTTGCAGTTTCGGAATCGTAAGCTGAACAGCCTGTTGCTGATGAAGACTCGTCAAGGGCTGTTCATGGCACCTGTTTCCCAGAACTGCACTGCACCCTTGGACCCAACGACGCATGAAAAAAAAACAGCAGCCAAAAACACGATCGAAGATCTTGGCAGATCTTGGCAGAAGCAAGTCATCCGAAGCTCGTGACGAGTGCTGAAGCAGGTTGCATTCCATCCACATCCGCCAAGTCACGGCCTCATTCCTCGACAGCCCAGCGACCCAATGCAGCCTTTGATGTGGCAGAAGGTGTCTCCTTCTCCGCCTGCCGTGGCCTGGGCCTGAGTCCTGCCAGAATGCCGGGGCAGCTCCGCAGCTCTCCACAGTTGAACGTTCTGTGCAACAGTTTACGGTTTAGGATTTAGGGGCTTTAGGGTTTCCAGCTTCGTGACTCTGGAACCGTGGAGCCCTCGACTGTCGTATGGAACCACACATCTCTCCGTCCAGGTGCCTGCTAGCCACAACTTGCGACGGTAGCGGCCCAAGCTGGTGTTTATCGAAGGTTCCTGCCGCTGCATTGGTTTGTTAGTCGGAGAGACATTAGCAGACCGAGGGGCGAATGGGGGGTTTACGAGAATAGGGCGTACCTTCTTGCAGTCCTGATGATAAGGGGATCCTACTATTGGGGGTCTAAATTAGGGGTCCCCTAAACCCGAAACAAAAAAAACCCTAACTCCCCTGCGGAGTGATCCCAGACGGGGTCTGCTAGGCGGGTGGCAAACAACAAATAGGAGCAGCGATATGAGATCCGGGGTGAGGCCTTCGGTCGTCTCCTCCCGGCGACCTTCCACAGTCGAGGCCTCAAAAGCAGATTGGGGGTTTAGGAAAATGGGTGACCCCCAAAATAGGACCCCAAATAGCAGGATCCCCTTCAAATAAGGACCCCCACTAGGGTACCCCCCTAATATCGAAAGCCCTCAGATGGAAGTCAGGAGGTGTGTGGCTTGGTAAGCATGGCTTAGGCATGCTTGGCAGTCCTCCGTGCGACAGCTTTCCTGTTCGCTCGCGCTCCTGCACCTTCACCTCTGTACAGGATTGTTCACCTGCTGTTGGCTTGAACTTCTTCACGCTGGCTCAAAGATCGTGTGGGACGCAGTAGGTCTCGGAGGCCTGAGGAGCGTGCATAGAATCTTGGGTGCAGGCTTAGACTCTATGGTTGTTTCAGCACAGCTTTCGGTGCAAGTTCCGCGATGCAATGTAGGATGTGCCAGGGCAAGCCACCCAAGTAGCAATCCTGCAGCCCAGGACATCTTGCGTCATGGCAGACATGAAAGTCGATCCCAAAGATGGTCTGGCCGTCCAGGACTTATCTACGCTTGATGCCTCCCGGCCTAAAGTTCCTGACGGCTTTTCATGATTTTCATGCCGATCATGTGAGTATCCCAGCCATGTCCAATTGTTTGCAACACATTTGAAATAATAACACTGGTACCATGCATTCATGATTATTGTTGCTTTGATTTCACAGTAAGCATTGGTTTAACCGCATGGGTCTGTCAAAGTCATCAGAGCAGCTTCTTCGTACTGCCTCGGTACTGGCCGGGCCGAAAAGACGAAGCACTGCCGTTCCTTTGGGCAAGTATCCTAGGTCTCCAAGCTGACGCCCCTGACTCCGGAAGTCATCAGCAGACAGGCAACGATGAATGTAGCACGGCGCGATTTGAGAGTGTTGCTCCGCAGCCGTACGTTGCTGAGGAATTAAGAAGTCTGAGGCGGTAGAGGCTGAATTGCTTTCATTGTCACAAAGCGTGAGCGATGCAAGCCACGTGTCGAGATAATATCGGATATCCAAGGTTGGCACTATCGGCCATGTTGCCCACGGAAAATCTACTGCTTCTTGGATGCGACGAAGCCAAGAGTTTGTCATAGTTGCCCATCGACCAAGAACCATCTCTTCTGACTCCATGTCGCTGCTAAATTGTGGTGACTCGTCACCCCCACATGGTCTTCGAAGAGAACCCGTGTGGCAGCCGGCGGTCTCATGAAGATGCACAGCCAAGGTAGTGAAGGGCCTCTCCGGCACGCACACAGTCAAATTCAAGGCAGAGAAAGAGCGCTCCTCGCCATGAAGACTTAAAAGACTTTGAGCTATTCTTCGGCTTGCTTCCTAATTGCTTCGCTTTCTTTTCCGGGGGCTCTGCTAGCTTGGGCTTGCGCGGGTGGTGATAATTCAGAGTTCAGGGTGTCGTTCCAAGATGTATCCAGATGTTTCGAGCTGCTTGTAAGTGCATGACTGGCACGTAAGGTATTCTTAGTGCATTCCGCATGCCTGCGATCCTGACACCAGGTAACATTACCATTAAGTTGGGCTACGCAAATGCGAAAATCTACAAGCGCGATCCTGGGGAGGGAGATCAGGAGACCAGGGCTTAATTGCACGTACATGTCTATAAATGTATAACATTTGCTTAGTTTACTTTTGACATTCATAATACAAAATGCATACTGCCGTGCATATTAATATCTATGTGCATATAGAGTATGTACAGCTTGGCAGCGGCAGTCTCCGCAGGATCACCCATATTGGTCTGCTGGCAGTTCCACACCAGATGTGGTGGACGACATGAGGCGTGTTGCAACACCGCTGCACTGCACCCTCAACCTCTAGGACTGTGAGCCCAGGTTTCGAAATTTCCCCCCCCACATCGGTTGCTAAGAAAGTTGCATGGCCGGCGAAAACAGCCCGGCCACACATAGGTTGCCATGTACGTACTTCTGCCAGCAAGAATTCGAAAGGAGATTTTGCATGGCCGGGGAAGAAAGCCGGACGGGCAAGCTCATATGGAGGGTCGTGACCGGGCTCAGCTGAGAGGTTGGTTCGCCATGTGTCGTTCGTGGACTGCCCTGGGCACGTCTCTTGGAACACAAACAGTCCGTCTGCCACCATCAGCATCAGCAGCATAAGGCACCCTGCAGCTTACAGAAATAAGCACCAGTGGCTTTGGCCTCATCCCAGGATATTCTCATGGCCACGATGCTCAACGGAGCGGCCGTCATGGACGCAGCTCTCCTAGTTATTGCAGGACCCTGGAGCTGGGGGGGTCCATGTCTTCAGAGCTGGTCTGCTTATCAGTCAAGACCTCACCTTCTTCGCACTGCGTGAAGTGCAGGAAACGAGACGTGCCCACAGCCTCAGACTTCAGAGCATCTTGCAGCCGTGGTGCCTCGCATCGAAGATGTGATGCCTGCGCATTTGCACGTGTGTGTGTCCTCTGGAGATGCATGTCGTGGGCATGCCTGTGCCATCTCAGCGACAGAGAAAGCCCATGCTTCAAGGAAATCATGCGACTCAAGCACATCATCATCCTTCAGAACAAGGCGCCACTGCAGTGCGAAGCTACTGCCCAGCCACCGCTGCACTTTGATGATCTGCAGCAGGTCCTCAAACCACGTAGGTGCCCCCCACGTACCCCCACCTTGCATCCCCTTGTACCCAGCAGAAGTTCGCGTGTTGCAACACAGCCCACCCTCACAAGAATGGTGCATTGCTTTGCACATGACACATGACGTCCTGACCAAATGGAAACTCGCGACACGACAGAATTAGGCCAGGATGTCAGATCCAATGCGCTACATATAGTTAGCAACTCGCGTTGCGCACGAATCAGACCACGTCGAGGCCCACAATGGGCCAGACCTAGACCCTGCACACATACCTCGATTTCCAGGTCGAGCTGATCAAGCAACAGGAGGCTGAATCCCGCTACGAAGAGATCAAGAAGTTCGTAGCTGGCACAGCAGCTGCATCTTGGTTCATATAGACGGGTTGCGTTTGGGTGCAAGCGTGAGCGCCATCTGTGAACATCTGTACCGCCTTCGCACAAGAGGTGCATTGGACGTTGTACTTCGCCCACGCTGCGTAAGATGTGCATGTCATACATGCTGATCACGCGTCCCACGAGTCAAGGACAGCTCGCCTATTATCCCCATCAGTCGCTCGGGAGCAATTCCTGATTCTCAACATCGCTCTTGGTTTTGGCAGCGCTGCGATGTAGTGAGCTTCAGGGTCAGCTGCTATTCACGCTTGAGCCTAGATCTGTAGAGGGGATCTGGGGCTCCGCTATTTGTCTTGGTGCACCACTATGCATGACATTGGCGCCGAGGCGCAGTTCTGAAGTACAATCTGGATGTGATTTGTGACTTTCTGCACGCAGTTTTTGGCAGAGAGTAGGTCACAATACTGTTTGCCGGTTGCTGCATGCCCAGCACCTTCATGCAACGTGCTAACGTGCTGACGTGAGACCTTGTGAAGGTTTGCATAGAGCCAAGGTGAGTACCTTTGCACGCAAGTGCCGATTCCACCTCGGGACTTTACGTCGAATCCGGTCATGATTATCATTCGATCCTTCGACGTCAACAGGCACTTCTTGCAAAGACTTGCCCAAAATTAAGCAGAGCCTGCAGAAAAGCATGAACACTTTGCATGCCTCTGGGTGCAATTATAAAGCCGCCAGGGCACGACATGGGCCGTCGACTCCCTCGGCCGAACAAGCCGGCTTCGAACCCCCTCAAAGGGCTTGGTTAAGGGCTCAGCTAGGTCTCCAAGGACTCAAGGAGGGATTTGGAGGCCGCCAAGGTGCCGAAAGCCTGCGAAAGAACAAACTCAGTACGGCGCAGTCAGCACTGACACGCTTCAACTCAAACCTCCCGCTTCGGGCGGTGGCGACAAGATCATTCGAAGGACACGCGCTCCAAATGACAAGAATTTCGGTGCAAATTGCCCGTTCTCGTTGGGCGTTCGCGCCAGCCATCCAGTTAATCTAGTTCTGGCCACCCATACTATTGGTATTATTCAAGCATGCGGGCACACATCGACATTCATTCAGCAATTCCGCCACCTGCATAGCAAGTTCAAAAGATGCTCACACGTGCCGTGGGCAGTATGGAACCGTAGTGCCGACTCTGCTCCGAAGCCTCGGCACATGTAACCCGTGTAACCGCCTACACCATGGAGGCCGGGTGAGGAGGTGGCCAACCTGAAGGGAGGTGTTGCTGGCGGTTCCATCCTCAAGGGAGCTGCTCGGCCAAGACTTAAAGTCTGTACGCTGAAGTTGAAGGCAATTGGCCCACCAGATGGGGACACTAGAGTCACTAGAACTGACACTTTCAGTCTTAGGTCCTGAAAATGGGAGATGAGATCGTGGCTTGCCTGCACTCTCCCGCACGCACTCCCGGGTCGGGGTGGCCCCTTGCAGCTTGATGTGAAGGTCTGCGTTCCCGCGTGCGTGGCTTGCAGCTTGCACCTCAGGAGATTAGGCCAGGCATCGTCACCAAAGATCCCAACAACGCGGATAACGTTCAGTGCCGTCCAATCCGCTCCCGCCCCTTGGTTCTGCCAAGCAGTAGAACATGCTTCTTTGTTTATTGTTGTTTTTACTTCATTATGGTACTATATATATATATATATATATTATACGCATTGTTTAAGTACGGCTCTCTTCAACGTTTTTTCGTTGCTGGGGTTGCCGGAGCTGTCCAGGAATCATGTCCCTGCTTGCCGAGCAGAACGCGCTGCAGTTCGCCGTCCCAGGCGGCCTCATTGGCGTTGGCACCAAGATCGACCCCAAGCTGACCCGTGCCCCATCGACATTGGACTCAGTGTTACGTGAGAATGGCACATGAGAACGACAATCAGATACAGAAAAACCTTCCAGGCTGCAGCTTTACAAACAGAATCCCCTATTGCTTGGACTAACTGCATTCTATGATGCTCGTCTTGACCCTCCCCTTGGGACTGGGGGCGGTGTGGAGTTACATTGATAGGAGTCGAGTCGCCCAGGTGCAGACAAGCTTGTGGGCCACGTGCTGGGGCATCCAGGTAAACTTCCGAGCCGCCCGGCTGTGAACACAGGTTCCCCAAGTCGCCTAGACCCTAGACCCTAAACCCTAAACCGCTACGGTTATAAAGCCAGATCACTGAATCAGGGGGGGCGCAAGCAACTTGAGGGACCGAAGGACCTTGCAGCCGAGGTATCTACATTGAGATCGAGGCCACGGGGCTGTTTCTTTTGGGGTTTAGCCTCGGGGGTGTAGGGCTTGCCAGTCCGTCACGCTGTTTTTCATGTCTTGGGGTAGGCATGACCCAACTGAGAACGAGAGCTGGGCTCAATGCATGCCGGCCGTGACTCTCGTGAGACCATTGTCGCTTGCTGCGTTGTTCGACCGTATATCTGGAAACACGGGCTCTGCAGAAGGTGAAGTTCTATTTGCTGCGACGGCTGCTGGGAGTCAAGACAGATGGCGATGGCAAGGCTGCCGATGCGCCCTAAAATGTATTATTGTTTCTTTTCTTAGTATACCTTGTTTTTAGCTGTGAGCATGAGACAAAGATGCCAGTGCTTCGTAGACCCTTTCAAGAATTTCAAGAGATCTCGAAGATCATTTGTCACAAGCAATGGCCAAGCAAGAGTTGCTGCGCCCCTGACCTCTAACCCTTCGCCTCTCAAAGTTGCGGAGGCTGGCAAGGTGGCGAAGCTCAAGAAGGGCGAGATCCTCATGGTCGCATGGCAAATAAATGGGGGGCAGGTAGTCAGGTTCAGGGGGCTCTCTTTTGAAGATGTCTCTGGGATTAGAACTGTGATTTACCGAGTGCGCTACTTATAACTTTCTCAGGTCAACATTGGATCCACCGCTGCAGGAGGAAGAGTGCGCCGGCACTGCGTGGAACACGCTACAGTCAGTAGGCGGTCAGACATGACAGAGTTGTGGCGCTATGGCTCTGCCTCTGCACGAGGTACTTGGCATCAAGGACGACAATGATTATGCCAGAATCACCCTCACACACCCTGCCGCTTCTACGAAGTTTATGAATAGCAAGGTGCTGCACTGGCCGAAGTCAAGCAGGTTCAACCGTGCCGGAGTAGACTTCAGTAGACATTCTTGGCTGCACCGCTGAAGCACAATGGCGAAAGCGCCAGCAATGAGGTGTGCACACAGGAGGGCGACAAGGTTGCCCTGAGCCGAAGGACTGCCAGAGGGTTTGCATGGGATTTGCTGATGCTTGGTGAAGTGTCTGCATGTCCGAGCAATCATTCGGTAGCATGCATGCGCACTTTGTACAAAAAGCAGAGGTGAAGTAGATCACTTGCGGGTGTTCAGACTGGACAGACGTCAAACAGTGGCATGTGTCCAGGATCGACAAGCACTGGCGTCTCATTGGATGGGGCAGCATTGCCAAGGGAGCAACAGTCAAGCCAATGAGTTCGTAGACTTGGGTTGCGCCGCCAAACGTTAGCGATTAGTGGATCTAGGCTTCTCTGCAGCACAGAAGCTTGGAGATGATTTTGTATTGCACACGATGCAAGCTGCAGATGAGCTCGGATTGCAGTTGAAACCGCTTCTGCAGTCCACCATTGTGTCAGACTCCATCTAGGATCAAGGAAGCCGCCTCGCAGAGCACTGGGCGCTTTATGTGCAAGTTGCGCAGACATACATAAACACCTCACGTGGATGCGCCAAGCTTGGACACCTCGGCTTCCTACACCATAGGAGCTCTCTGTTGCATGGACATGCAGTGCTGCGGTGTTGCCACCGATGCAGCAGTTTTTGCGCTCACGTGGAGATGACGACCTTCTGGCCCGCCCGACGTTTACCGAAACAAAAGGCGTTGATCGATCTGCTTTTGCCAGCAGCTCCAGACCTACACTTGCTTGCGCGCACGTTGAACTGGCCCGCAGCGTGCCGGTGTAACTTCGTGGAAGATTGAAGTGTTGCTCTGACTGGCTAGCTACTGGCTGAGGTTGGCGCTGCTTCCGTCACCACCCGCGTGTGCCACAGCTCTTTGGAGACGGCCTCAGCGGGCGGTCCGAGGTTCCTGAGCATTCGATCGTGCAATGTACTGCAAATGCAATTATGTTGCAATCTCCAGTGCCCTCAACCTAAACATCAACCCGTCTAGGCATCCACCAAGTTTAAAAATTCAGGCGGATGACAAAACCAAGCCCAAAGAAAACATGAAACAAGCCCTCGGCCCAGGAGGCTTCTACTCGCACCACGGTGATGGGCAGCCTGGTTTGCAGCACTGCAAGCGGCCGGGGCCTAACTGTGAGGAAATGAGAGGAAAAGTTTCTGGTCTTTTGAGAGATCGTGGCACTCAGAATCGTTTGGAGCTTTTTCACCACCGCAGTGGGCTCAGGCCGCTCGGTATCGCCAGCACAGCGCTTAGAAGAGTTTGAAGTAGTCGAAACAAGTCTAAGTACTTTCCTGACTGAGCACAAGAAGCACGTGCAAAAGATTGTCATGCAGTTGCTGTTCCTGGCCTGATCCCTTGCTTGCATCCTGAAGACTGCAGGTTTGGATTGCCCGCGGGAATCGGACGCAAGAGGAAAGCCTGGCTTGTCATTGTAAGTAGACCCGGGTCATACTAGTGAATACGTTGCTTGAGAGTTGTAGAGGTGTCCCAGAGCAAAGACCTGGCTAAGTAGGCCAAGCACATCGCGGCGACCGCTCAGACCCACACCGCCTCGCCGCCGCTGGGCTCGTCCCTGCGCTCTGCGGCCTCCCAAACCTCCCAGGCGCCTGATGTGGCGCACGGCACAGTCACGCAGGTAGTAAGGCCCTCGGTCCGTGCGTTCACTACTGCGCTGGGAGGTAAACCGCAAGCCATTGACGCCCTTCAACTGGCAGGCGTGCTGGGCATCAAGACAGAGAGAAAGAGAGAAAGAGAGAAGAAGAAGAAGAAGAAGAAGAAGAAGAAGAAGAAGAAGCGAGAGGGTGTGGGAGTTGCTTTCCTTTCCTGGCCCCGACTTTCTCATTCACCTTGTCCTGCAGACCCCCGTCCGGCCTGTATCCGGCCCCCAGCTCACAGAAAGTGCCCAGCGGAATGGGAGGCAACCCCCGTGAACCCTCAGCCCCGTGAGAAGAGAAAAAAACGAAGCGAGTGAGAATGCAGCGACACTGTGCGAGGGGCCACCCCCCCCCCCCCCAACAGGGCGCAAAATGAACAACTCCAGGGACTATTTCGAAAAGGACACAAGCACACAGAGACAACACAGGAAATTCTATGCCTTTCCTCGCAGGCTCAGGCCAATTTCGGCTGTAATGAGGTTCTTGTCATGGCCTTCGTGAACTTCCCAGTTCACATCCTAAGTTTCGCAATCTACAAGCTACAAATGGACTGGGGCCGCTGTAGCGAAATGGTTTTGTTAAGCTGCACCGACGAGGCATCCAAATCTGGGAAAGATGTTGCGAACTTGTTGACCAACACGGCAAGGCCGGGAACTGTCTGGAGACATGACACATGTTCATCAAAGCAAAGAGGGGGCCCCCTCAGAGTAACCTAATGCCACCTGGTCAGCACTCGTTCGGCGGTGTCCTCCGCACCATCATCGGCATCAACTCCAATTGTGCCACTGCCTCCGCCTCAGTACGGACTGCAGGCTGTCACTGAATGAATAAAGGTCTGCATTGAAGCGCATGATGTGCTGCTTACCTTGCTCGGCCCCGGCGTGCTTCCGTCGTTTCAACTTGAGACAATTGCGCATGTGATGACGCGGGCCCCCTGCAGCCCACCAAGGCATTCAAAACGTTTTGGGGCCTTCTAGACAGGTCTGTACAGGGTCCATAAAAGGTCCGGGTTTACAAACTTTGTGCGCAGGTTTGGGGTGAGGAGTCCGACATATCCGTAGAGGGCCCAAAGCGCTCCATAGTCCAACATACAGGGAGCATAGGGGGGTGATAGGAAGTCCGAACCATACAGGTCCACCGAAGGACCATACAGGCTCACAGCAATTCCATGGGGTGCCATGGAGGCCAGAGAAGGTCCATCGGTGCAGAGAACTCGGGTCCACAGCGTCCACGGGGCTCCATCGAAGGCGCTACAGGACCGGCAATCAGGAAGCTCCACAGAAGCTTCGTAGAGGGGAGAGGTCTATAATGGTCCGAAGGGGCTGATAGGGGAATATAGGGGACACAGACGTCCATGGGGAAGGAAGTCCAGAGGTCCCAGAAAGCGCCATGATCAAGGTTAAGTGTGGTAAGAATCATTGCAATGTAACTGATGATAAAGATTGTGAGCCATTAAGGAGGAAAAAGCATCTTCACCGCAACGTTGTTGTTGTTGTTTCTATTCCAATGGTTCTAACGCAGCTTTGAGGGGACCATGGGCCTGTGAGCCGAGCCCTCCTGGAGCCCCGGGGGCCGAGGCGACACTTTGAGCGGCGGGCTGTGCGGGAGGAGTAAAGGAGGTGGATTGTTGTTTTACCGAAAAAGATTAGTGTTTTTTAATCTTTCCACGACAGGGGAAGATCCGCATCTGGATGCGACAGTACCTGAAGTCGACAGAATTCGGTGCAGCGCGGAGATTGTACTGCAGACTTCGCAAGCAACGCAATGATCAACGTGCCCTTGGAAATGAGTCTCGTTGCACAAGCCTGTCAACATTGACAGGACGAAGGTGTGTCTATCAGCGTGCCTGCATGGCTGATGTTGTGCTGGCAGTCATGGAGGGAGATGCACCGCGATAAGTTAGTTGAATGCGTGTTATGACCACTCTGGTCGGTTGGGGTGGAATCGGCCTAAACTTCTTTCACAGGCATAGCAAGCTTCGCCTGTCGTTTTCCCCGGCTGTGCTATCGTCTCTTCGTAGCGTGTGTTCTGCTCAGGTCTGGCATCTCGCTTCCTGCTGGCGAGGAGCGGCCACATGCCAGTTGAACAGCAAGCAGCGAATTTTGGGTCTTGCGAAAGTCTGCGCCCAGAAGTCTTGATTCTGAGCTTGGCCTAGAGCCCCGTCGACATTGTATAGCACTGTCAAAGCCCACACCTTTCAAGAACCTTCGGTTGTGTTCGGACTGCAATTGAATATGATCGGGGTTGTGAAGTATTGTCAGCTGGCGCAGGTTGCAAGTGTTGCTGAAGCTTGGGGCGGCATCGCTGCAGGTGGCATTCGAAAGAGCAACCGCATGAAGTGAACTTGAGAATCTCCAGAGCTACGACGAGAAACCAAAGTTAACAAAAGGCATAAACTGCCAAAAGGCTTAGCTCGGAGCCCGAAGCAATTACGATGTCACGATGTCCGCTGACAGATCTTCAACACGAGTCACCCTAGACATGCAGAATCACCTCACATGATGCGGACAGGCACAAAGGCAGTCCGATTCTGCCCGCACCTCAAGCGTCATGCGCTTCCATTGGGGTGCACGAGACAGTCACCATCAGAGCAACAAAATCTTTGGAGCTGAAGATGGTGTTGTCTCTGTGTCCCCTTGTGTCCAAGAGGTGGACAGGCATTGGTTTTCCGAAGTGTTCATCCGATGTCTTGCACATGGTTTACCATGGTTTACCGCGGTTTAGTGCTTTAGGGCGTCGGTAACGCATACGTCTCACGTTGTGCGACATTGTGCATCGCTTGCCGTGCCATGCCGGGTACAGGCTCGGAAGAAGCCTCGACACCCAACAAGGCAGACCTCGAGCTGGCCGAGGCCGAGATAGAGGTGCCAGTTCTTGCAAAAGCGGCACCGAACTGATGGGGACTCTCGCAGGCAAAGGCAGAGACGATCTGCGGCGAGAAGCAAGTGGCAAGCAGACGTACGCCAAGCTACGGAGGACGAGATCTTTCTGACTTTCTGCCAACGTTGCTTCGAGAGGCCCAGCATCTCAGAACTGCAGGAGCATGACCGGTCACAAAGCTGGGCCTGGCGACATCATGCGGCTCAGCTGCGCTAAACACCCATGCTCGAACCTGAAGACTCAGACCCTGTGGACAGAACAGTGCCCAGATGCACAGTTCATACGGCCCACTCCTAGACAAAAGCAATGAGGGGTGGCAACGATGGAGCTGCATCAGGTGCAGACGAGCAGATTGACTGCTGCTCCTATTCTGCAGATAGCCTGCCACATCTTTTGCCATACTCCTAGGCGCGCATGCCAGTCTACACAAGCCTGTAGAGAGAGTGAGAGCACTGCGCAACGTGCACACAACATGACTTCACGACTTGACGAATGTTTCTGGAAGTGTGGCTGCGCGAAGGGTAGTCGCCTGCCCGGGCAGATAGCCTTGGTAGCTTGACCCTTCGGGCTAATTCGTAATTCTTGTAGAAGCCATACCAAGCAATGTGCGGCTCTGGCTCTGCATCATAAGATACGTGACGCTAACAGCTGTGGGGGTGCACTGTGGAAAAAAGCTGTGCGACATACATGGTTCATTCAATATAACTTGCAGCATGAACTGCAGGCAGCTCATAAGGTGTCTCGAAAAGTCCCAAAAACCTCTTCGCGAAAGTTTCTTCGAACACAGCAGGCCAGAAGGAACAAGACTTGCACAAGTTCATGCTGCCAGCCCTGATTGCGGGAACGTGCAACTGGGAGTCAGAAGGCACAGTTTCGCGTTACACTGCATGCGCTTCTTGGCTGAGGGCCCAGAAAACCTACGCAAAAGCAGCACCCACTGGCACTTCAAGAGGGGAGCAGAGGCCAAAGTATGGCATGCCGAGTCAAGTGCAGAAAATCCCTTGAAGAACTTAGATCCGACGAAGCCAGCCAATCCAGGAGCCTATTCAAATGCAGGAGCGTCCCGGTGCCACATCCGACGACACTGAGAGCGATGGGGAAGCCTCCATGCAAGTGCACTGGTTTGGACTCCACAAAACCCAGGCGAGAGCGCGATTCTGCACCTCTGGCGACGTCGAAGCCTGGGCTGTTTATTCAGTGCTGTTTATTCACGTATCATATTGGGTCAATCCTGTGCCTGTGCTAGAGCGCGATTCGGGCCCAAAACGAGCGCCGTGCCTAGGCGAGAGCTGCGCTGCAGCGTTACCTCAATCATACGGCTAGCAGTCGTTTCCATGCGAAAACACGTCGGAGGGCAAGAAGCTCAAGTTCCTTAGCAAGTTCCTTAGGCTTCGCGACCCACCTTAAGACCACATCCAGGCAACAAATATGCCGTGAAACATCAGAACGTTCGGGCAAATGGGGCCACATCCCTGCCACGACCCGTTCGGTCCCAAAAACATGAAAAACAATGAAAAACACTTATGGACATCTCGGATGTTGGGTTCTGGTCGTTTTGGCACTGAGCTGGAAGCAGGGCGTTGTTGCCCGACCGCAGGGCCGCGGGTAGAGGGGACTGGAAAGAAAAGAAGGGAGGGTGAGGGAGGACGGACACGCGAGACCGGGTTTAGGAAGGTGGCGTCGGGGGTTTGGTGGCGCATTGTTCTCAACCCCACCAACTAGGGCCTGTCAGAGTTTCGCTAGGAACTGTCCTACGTAAGGGGCGCTGTCGCCATGGCTGTCGGCATCCGTCACCCACAGCCGGCTACGCCCGAAGCAGACAAGGACTTAGTAGGCATGGGTGCAAGGTGCAGGCTTCGCTTTGTGTTTTTCTCGGGAGGTCAACAACAGAACTCGACAAGTTTAAAAGAAGTAGAAGAACAACACAGAGCAAACGCAAAAAGAACAACCATAAAGGCAAGAAGAAGAAGAAGAAGAAGGCCAGCAACACGAAGAAGCAGAGCAGCAACTACACAACCAAGAATACTGTAGCAGATACACATGCGAAAACTATAAATGTGAACCGTGTTGTTTGGCACGTGTCTGTTGTGCATATGTTCGGACATGTTGAAGTAAGAAGAAGGAGAAAGGAAGGAAGGAAGGCAGGAAGGCAGCAAGGCAACAAGGCAGCAAGGCAGGAAGGCAGGAAGGCAGGAAGGGAGGAAGGGAGGAAGGAAGGGAGGAAGGGAGGAAGGAAGGAAGAAATAAAGAAAAACAAAACGAAAGAAAGAAAGAAAACAGAAAGAGGAACGAAGAAAGCAGCAAAGACGACACATGCACAAACGACTGCAACTACAAGCGGACAAAAACACAGTGAAGGTCCCTTTGCATGCTTGCAATTTTTGGCTTGTTTAAAGCCCCGGACCTTCCTCACACACCCCCGCCAACCCGCCACCCCCCCCCCCCCCCATGCGCCCGTGGCTCGATGATGCTCGCCCTCATGAAGGGGCTCGAACAGTAGAGGATCCGTGAATACATGGAAACCATGGTATTTTCAGTGGTTTCTGCATTTTGGAGGCTCATGCCCTAGCAAGCGCGGCGTTGCTAGAAATCCGGAGCATCCACCCTTTCGAGGCATGGGCAGCGGTGCCTCATCCCGCCACATTAGGTCATGCTTCGTTTTTCCGCAGCAGAAGTCTTGGCCCAAGTCCTCAATCTCCACAAGGCTCCCCAATTTGGTTGCAAGGCCCCATGGCTTCAGAAGCAGCGATGTTCCAGTATGCTTGGGTGGATGTTCACTTCTCGCAGTGGAGCCGACGATTCTCGGCCTCGGGCATTGTCAGGCACTTGGAGCAGTTGGCATGCCAGGACAGCATCAAGTTGTACATCACCGCACATGGTGAGGATGACTTCCTGCGCGAATGCAGCACAGCCACTCGCAGCATCTCCTTAAGTTGGCCTAAGATGCGCAAGAAACACAGAAGCACTGCACGATAACACCATGAGTTGCTAGTTGAGCAAGACCTCCCGCAAGTCAATGCAAAATAACCCGTTTCCTACCAGTGTGCTGTGTGAGATGACTTGCACGAGAAAGGTTCCAGAAGCCTGCCAGTGGTTGAAGGACACCTTCGCTGATGAGATACGTGCAGATGAGCGGCAGCCTGCACACTCGGCGGGCTCCGGCTTCGGCGGCTTCCTGCTCCTTGGGGCTTCCTCCGTGTTATTGTTTTTTTGGGTTTTTAAGGGTTGTTTAGGGTTCAGGGCTTTGGGTTCATTGCTGCTGCTGCTGCTGCTGCTGCTGCTGCTGCTGCTGCTGCTGCTGCTGCTGCTGCTGCTGCTGCTGCTGCTGCTGCTGCTGCTGCTGCTGCTTCTGCTGCTGGGTTTGGGTCGTATCGTGTAGACCTCTTCTGAAGTGACTCTCAAGAATTCAACAGGTTCGGCACGTGCGGCCAGCTGTCTGTGGCAGAGCCGGAGTTTCGGCCGGAGGCTTCTGGCTCGGAGCCCGAATCCCCAGCGTCCGACGCTGATGAAGATACAACCAGGAAGCTGACAGATCTTGGCGACTGTTTGACAGACGACAGTGCAATGGCACAGTACATGCATGGCGATCTCTACACCAACTTGTCACGTCTCAACCCATTGAGATGGAGTTCTCTTGACAAGCCCGAGCAGGTAGCTGACGCGTTGGATCAGCAGCAGCAGGTTCGGAAGGTACTACTCCGAGTGGCTGCTTCCAAACAGACGCTGCACAAGATGTTTCCAAGCCCAGCTGGTGCTGCTGTATGGCTTCGCAAGAAGTTTGTGCGGTCCAGGGACCTGGCAGAGCTGGATGAAGAACGCTTGTGCGTCATCTGCCTGACGCAGCCGCGCAACGTGCTGCTGATGCCCTGCCGGCATGCCGTGCTGTGTGAGGAATGTCTGGAGGTTATCATGCAGCGCAGACCCAGCGAGTGCCCAATTTGCCGGAGGGAGTTGCAAAGAAAGCACACAAGCACCCAAACGTCGGTTACGTTGTTTTTTTGACCTACCCCAAAGCGAATGTAGACACTCGAAAACCGGCCTGAGTCAGATTGGTAGAGTCGGCCAGGAGACGCATCCAGAATCACGCCCGTGGCCAGTTTGTCGATGACTATGTAGAGCTGGTCCAGGCTGCCGAAGCTCGCTTGGAGCTTTCACAGCTGCAAGCCTATGAAGGCATGTACAATCACATCCGTCCCCTCATGGTGACTGGTGCTGTTCTTGCTTCCGGAGCTGCAGCCTGCTTTGTCATCGCCCCTCCTCTGGCGCCGGCTTTGCTCACTGGGGCCGCGGTTATCGGGTACCTGCCTTGGTTCGCGACCACTGTTTCGCACTTCGAAGGTGAGGACATGGCTGAGTCGGCACTCCAGAACCGCATCTTCTCGCGGGAAGATTTTTCAAGCCCTCTTACGCTGGTGACAAAGTCAGTAGTACTTCTTGTCGCAGCTCCAGTGGCTGGAGTGGTTTTCTTCCTGCCCTACGGATTGTATGCGGGAGTGCTGCGTCCACTTGCAAGACTGACCTTCCAGGGGCTTGTGCGAGCTGCTTGCTTTTCGCATGTCTATGTCTTCCGTCCCGCGGCGTCACTGGCTGCATCCGCTTGGGAATGTATCTCTGGCGCGGCGAGTGTGTGTGGAGACGGGAGCATGGCCCTGCTCAAGTCCATTTATGACTGGGTGCTGTGCCCACTGGGCTCTGGCTTGAAGTGGTTAGGCCACCGTTTCGTGGATGCGGCGAAGTGGACATATCACAATGCACTAGTGCCTGTGTGTGAGGCAGTAAGCGGATCTGCCGTCCTTGCATACGAGAATGTACTCCTCCCTGGAGCGCAAGCATTCTGGAGCATGCTGCAAGCTGCAGCACAGGCTTCATACAACTACGTGCTAGCGCCTGCTTGGCATGCGCTCACTGTTGCTGCCGAGCGGCTTGGCAGCGTGCTGACGGTGTGTGCCGAGGGACTCTACGCTTACGTGCTAGTGCCTGCTGGGAAAGCCACTTGGGCTGGCTTGAAGGCACTCGTTCAGGGTCTAGGAGCTGCTGCGCATGGCACTTATGAGCACCTCCTTGTCCCACTGGGAAGTGCCACTGCTTCTGCTCTGAATGCCCTCGGCCAGTGCCTGACCGCAAGTATGGAAGCCCTCTATGGCTACGTAGTTCAGCCCCTTGCGGTCGGAGCCTACAATTACATCTTGGCACCGGCCGGCTGGGCCATGTGCGCGGTTGCGCGGGCCATCTGGCATGGAGCAGGCATGGCTGCACAAGCACTTGGTCAGATAGCGCAACTTGGCTATGGCTACATCTTGGTTCCTATTGGCCAAGCCATTCGGGCTACTGGGGCCGCTGTTTGCTACGCATCAAGTGCAGCTGCTTATGCGGTGGCCCAGCTTGCGCAGGCAGGATATGCTACTGTGATCCGGCCTTGCATGACGCTCGGAGCAAGACATTAGCACCCAGCAGGTGCGCATTTAATTTCGTTTGTTTGCAGTCGCCATGTAGCCCCCACCTACCTGCAAATAATGAGATTGCATGTATGAAAAAACTGCGGGTCACCAGCACCAGCGTGGTTCCAAAGGAATGCCAGCATCGCTGTAGCAGAAGCCACCTACACCTTCGTGCTTCTGCCTTGTGGTCGAGCTGCTGCCAGCGCCGCCCAATCGATTGGCCAAGCAGTGGTGATGATTGCTCAGGCCACTGAGTTCAACCGCAAGTATTCTGTTAAAGGAGGTCAAGAGTCAAGAGCATTCGCCAATTCTTCGGAGCCTTGTTCATGCTGTAAAGGTATAGTCATCAGATAATCCTTGGGGATGCAGCCTTCGTCGAGCTGTTGCATTGGGCTCTTCAGGTCAGCGGCCAGACGATCTACATCTACGTGGTGTGCCCGGTCGGGCAGGTCCATCCCACGAGCGCTGAGAGAATGAACGTTCGATAGTGGTAGGCTTATTACTGGTAGGTAACAGTCAGCTCAAGCCGGCCATCAGCTGTGCATAAGACATCATAAGACTGATGCCTCAGAACCCTCTAAACCCTAAACCCTAAGAGGCGGGTGGAACCCTAAACCCTAAACCCTAAGAGTGTTAGGGGCTTTGGGTCAGCTGGATGAGGCAAGCCAGGCTGCGCTCCTTGCGGGACGCCAGGCAGCGCAGCAGTGCCATGCAACTGCAATGAGCATGGGCCAGACTGTGGCTAACCCTGATTCAGCATAACACAGGGCTTTTTCATTTGAATAGAGTTTTTTTTTGTTTTTTTTTTTTTTGGGGGGGGGGGGGGGGTTATTGTAGTCATCTATGAGAATCATTAAAAACAACGACAATATCAAGAATAATCATCGTAATCAGAATCATAATCATCATATGATCCTGATTCAGCAGAATAGAGGGGCCTTATTGATTAGAATAGGGTTTTTGGGGGAGGTTATTGTAGTATAATTGTAATTTTGTTAGTAATGATTCCGCCCTCCAAATTATTACACTTCTCCATGCGCCTCTGCGTTTCTGTGTTTCGGCAGCTCGTTTAAATCTCCATTAACCTCCCCAGCGCAACACTCCTGGCCAAGGTTCGTGTCACCTTTCAGAGTCTAGTGAGACGCTAGGCCCGCTAGGCTCTTAATCAATGCAGACTAGCCAGCCGAAGTCATGGCAGACGTGACAGTAGTTCCGTTATTTCAGAGAGCCTGCGCCAGTATACAGCAACACTGTACGCCGCAAAGAGCTCGCAAGATCAAGAGATTATGCCAAAGGTCCAAGGCCTTGTGAGTCTGCCATGGCAGCTTTGGGTTTCCAGAAAGGCAGCGCCCCCACTGTACAGCTTGTAAGTCTCTACTGCAGCAGGTGACGCCGAGCATCCCAAGGTTAGACTCCATAAACTCGTACTTGGGTAGCTGCTTAGAGAGCTACATATGAGGGTTTACGAAATTAGGGGTACCTTGTTGGGGTCCGTATCATAAGGGATTCTACTAGTTGGGGGTCTAGACTAGGAGTCCCTTATTTTCTTAAACCCCCCATAAGACCAAATCTTCGGAAGAGCATCTTGACTTTGCATATGCAGGCACCCTCGGAAACTCCAGCCATCGGTTCACCTCCATGTCTATCGAACAGAGAGACTTGCAGTCGTGGACAGGCTCTGCGAACCTTCGGCCCATAAGCAAAAAAATCCGCTCGGTCAGAAAAACTGTGGAAACGACCATGCTCCTGATAGAAGCGTGCAAGTGTGATGTCATACCTTCGTTGTTGTTCCGACTTCCCGCCACAAAGCGGATGTGAACGCCAGTAGATCTTCGCGACCATCTTGTCCTGAAATCAAACAGTGTTCAGTCTTGCCGGCCTGCCGTGCTGCTGAATGGAAGAGCAAGGACAAGAATGTACCAGCCCACACGAAAGACGGGCAAGAAGGACAAGACAGGCAAAATGGCAGTCAGGGCAAGAAGTGCAAGAAGGATTGACGAAATAACGCCCCCCCATGGACATCTTGGCATCGCAGCCTCGCACGTCAGTCGCACGAGTTTGGCCCAAGCGTGTGAGCTGAATCCGTGTCGGCCAGAGGCGGTGCGGAGGTCATCCTTCCAGCATGGGGTCCTGGCTCCTCAGACTGGCCGTTGCTTTCCAAGGCCGGGGGTTCGATGGAGTTCGAGGGCTCCGAGCACGGAGAATCCGCACTGAGGGAACCGTTGCGCCGCGAGGCGTTTCCGCCTGGAAGGTGGCGTCGGGGCGCGTGCCCGAGATGGCATTCTGCCAATGCCGAGTAGCTCATCCATGCTCATCCGTACTCGTTGCAATCTCGATGCCGAGGAAATGCACTGTGGACGCGGATGGCTGCGTCGCAAGCCCGAACTTCCCGGGGGAGTACCCCAACAGCGACAGCTGCGTGATCGAGGTTGAGCCTGGCCACAGGCAAGTCCATTTTCAGCTCACTTCACCTCAAGGCCTCAAGGATGCAGCGCTGCGCAGTCGCTGCGCAGGCGGCCGCTCGAGGTGGTGGCCTTCTCCACCGAAACCGGCCGGGACGAGGTGCACTCTCGTACGTTTGCAGTTCGTTTTCCTTTGCTGTGCATTTGCACGTTCAGGGCGCCGTCGATTTATTATAATTTATTCAGGGAGGGGCGACCGCTCTCTCCGAATTCTGTGCTGGACCACGGGGCATCACGGGGCATGAGGCGCAAAACTTTTCATTCAGGTGAGCGTCAATGGCGTGGGTTACTCTGGCACAGAGGGGCCTCATGGCGTAGTGCCGACCGGGCCCATCCACTGGCGCTCGGCGCCTCGGCAATGATTCGCATTACGATTCCCAATGATTCTCACTCCACAGATGCCACCGACAGACCTGCAGCCACCTCATGAGGATGTGAAGGGGAGCAGTACGGGCTGGAAGATCTGCCGAGAGGTGATCGGGACGTTGCACGCCGTAGCGCGCATCTTCTTGCTGCACCGCTCGCATGACTTGCAGATGGCCGTCAGGATGTGATGACAGGAATGAGAGCGAAGAGGTCCCTGGCCACGGCTGAGAACTGGACTGGCTGCACCCCAAGAACGGGAGATGTGTGGGCACTGCTCCTTTTGCGTCGTGTGTGTGTGTGTGTGTGTTGGTGCAAGTCGATATAGCTGATTCGTTGTCAGCGGGTTGACGGATATTTGCAATGCGCAGCTGCGCAAGCCGTGCGACTGCAGAACAGGCGCTTGGAATGTGCTGGAAGGGTTCGTGCCTGAGATGCTTGTCGAGACTCCAATCCTGTCACAAGCACGGCCGTGCCAAGGTTCTGCCAAGTGGAAGACGGGTGCATAACCAGCCCAAACTACCCCGACTACTACCCGGACAGCGACAGCTGCGTGATCGAGGTCGCAGCCAGCCACAGGCTTGCCGGGTGGGTACGGTAGGGCCCTTTGGATGGGCATTCGTGATCCCTTCCTGAATCGCAGGAAGAGGCCCTTGGGGGTGGTGGACTTCTCGACGGAAGCTGGCTACGATGAGGCATCGCGCGGTAATCGCACGCATGTTTCGCAGTGTTGTGGCCGTGCCGATGCCTGTTGTAGCTGTGTTGATGCGTGTTGATGCATGTTGTGGTTGGATGTGGGGAGATGGAGGTCACAGTCAACGGCATGGCTTACTCCGGCACGGAGGGGCCGCAGGGCCAGGTACCGTTCGCACCCATCCGCTGGATGTCGGCACCTCGACTTCAACCAGCACTCTGTTTTTCTGCATGTCTCAGGTCTCATGTCTTGCCCTTAGCCCGGAGGAACCTTCTCTCAACCCAGGCCTACGAGCCCCAAAACCCCTGAAACCCAAGCAAGCCGAAAATTAAAGAAGACGAGAACCCCGCTGCCCTAAGCTCTCCTAAACCCTAAATCCAAAATCAAGAGTCGAAACCACAACCCTCAAACCTCAAAACAGGAGAGAAAAATCACAGCCTGAAGGCCCAAACGGCCCTCAAATTCAAACCCAAAAGCATCCAAAAGCCCTAAGCCCCGCCAACTTTTGTGAGAGTCGAAATCCCTAAGCGGCCCTAAACCCTGAACCCTAAACCCTAAGCCCTAAACCCTAGAACCCTATAACCCTATAGCCTAAACCCTAAAACTTTTCAGGATTGGGGCTGGGGCAGCACGGGCTGGAAGCTCTGCCTTGGCAGGGAGGAGGACACTCACAGTCTGAAACCGGAACTCCAATCCCTTTCCCTCCCTCTGAGTTTAGGGATGTTTAGGGCTTTGGGTCTAGGGGGGAAGGGCTGTTGAGGACGTTGGCTTGTGATACGCTTGGTCTCCACGGGGAATCCTTCCAGAACTGCGGAGAAAGCACAAAATTCAGCTGGGCTCTGCCTCAGCCTTTGTGGACAGGTGCATCAACCTGAACAGTTAGTTACCATCTACTGTAGCCGTGCGCATGCCTCCAACATGTCCTGCGCGTGCGCCTTGTAAACTCTGGAGCCCAAACTTGGATGCTCGGCACGGCTTGCACCAAACAACACCACCTTACGTGGCCGCTGGTCTGCGCAGGCCTCATTCTTGCCTTCCACTTTGCCACCCACTTAACAGCTGGCCCCAGACCCAGAAAATGGGGCCGCAAATGGAAACTAGTCTCAAATCGGGGCCACGAGCCTGGCCGAACAATGCCAGTGGTACTCGCGTCGGGGATGCCCTGGCCGACCGAAAAAAAACAGTGGTATCCCAACATGTATTGGTATGTCTACATGAAAAGACTGCGAATTTGGGGAGTTTCTCAGTGGAGGTCCAACCCACCGCTGCACTTTTCTTGACTTCTTTTTTCGCAGGACTTGGACTTCTTCCACCTCTCCTGCGACTTCAGCTTTGGCACCTGCCTTTGGGCTAACTCCGGCAACGCCTCGTGGCGGCGTTTCTCAGATGCTGATGGCTGGTGGCTTGAAGCTGCCGGGAATTCCTCCGAAGCTCATGAGTTCGTTCTGGAGACGGACTTCACATTCAGCACCAGCGAGGAGAAGGCCCTGTTCTTCTCCTACCAGTTGAACGGCTCGAGCTCTGAGTTGGTGGTGGAGAGCAGGGCGAACGAGACTGCTTGGCAGCGCCACTTTGAGTCTGCAGGCGCTCAGGGCGGCGTGTGGCAGCAGGCCTTTGTCAAAGTTCCTGCAGGCACCGTGGCCCTCCGCTTGTCTGCAAGCACTGCCGCCGAGGACGTCGTTCGTATTCAGTCCTTGCAGGCGGTGAATGTGGTGCCCACTTGGGCAGAAGTTGCTTGCAGCTTTGAGGCCGGTACCTGCGGCTGGTCGACGACTGGAGCAAACCAATGGCGCCGAGCTTATTGGGCCTCGCTTGACGTGGCGTGGGGCACCGGGCCGTATGCACCTTTCGAGGGCGAGTGGTGTTCTTACACGGAGGCGGATGACACCTTCAACCAGGCGCGGGGGAAAAATAGCATGTAGAGCTTGGAGCTTGCGAAGCTATTGTTTCCTTCTGATAGGCGAAGGAACGAAGCGTATTTGCTTTCACGCTTCCTCTTTAATGTGCGAATTCATCTATCTCACGGCGAATTCGCTCTGATGATTTTGCATTCGTTGCAAGTTTTCTCTATCTCTTCTTGAGCTGCGTTCGCTCATGATTCAGACATGTGATTGATTAAGTTGCTGGCTCAGCTAGCTGCCTGAGTTGTTGAGTTTTTGTTGACTCCACCCCCTCCCTTGGAGCGATTTGTTGGCGGTGAACGATGAAGGATGTTGAAGCTGCGTTGCTTCTGAGCTGATCTTTGCTCAAGCCCTTTCCGATGCACACGATTCGCTGTTGCAAGTGACCTCACAAAAAAGAAAACGTGAGCGCGTGGCCTTCTCTGTTTGTGCGTCGTTTGAGATAGATTCAGGTCGACGACTTCTGATTTTCGATATTGTTTCCGATGAGTTGTCCCTCATCTGCAGTGCAAGCATAGTATCAGGCGAAACAGCTACTGTTCAGCTCGCTGTTGTGTTCGACCTTCTGGCTGTACCCTGTGCTACACAGGTTACATCTCAGGGGGGCGGTGGGTGTAGGCACCTTTGTCCAGTTTAGTCCTGGGGCTGCTCCCTTTTGTTGGTTAGGAGGGGGGGGGGACAGCCCTCGCGCGTGGCGGTGCCTGGCCCCCCCCGGGCTTGTGCAGGACTTCATCCTGCTCAGCCCGTTGTTTGGTGCATCGGCGGAGACCAGGCACCTCCACTTCTCCTACCACATGCGCGGGGCTGGCATGGGGACTCTTCGACTGGAAAGCTGGGGCAACAGCTCCTGGACCGAGCTCTTCACTCGCAGCGGAGATCGAGGCAGCCATTGGTACCTCGCCTTCGTTGCTTTGCCACCGGAGGCCGAAGCCTTGCGCTTTGTGGGCACCACGGGGAATTCCTGGGCAAGCGATATGGCGTTGGATGCAATCGCTGCGGGCCTCCCCAGGGTGGAGGTGGACTTCCACCAGCTCTCCTGCAACTTCGGCTCGGACACCTGCCTCTGGTACTCCCCCAATGCTTCTAGTTCTAGCGATTCTGGCTGGCAGCGGGTCGCGGGCGATTCGGATCAAGAACACCGCTGGTGGCTGCAAGCCTCTGAAAGTGGTGCGGGGCCTTCGGATTTTGTTTTCGAAAGCTCGCCATTCAATATAGCGGAAGAGAAGGCACTGCTCTTCTCCTACCAACTGGTCGGCTCTGCTGTGCTATCCGTCGAAATCGAGGCCGATGATTGGCAGGCCGTCTTCGTTCTGGAGCCTGCAAACAACACTCTAACATGGCAGCAGGCATCGGTCATGGTTCCCCAGAACACGGGCGCAATGCGGCTCCGTGCCCAAGTGACAAACGGGGACCTCGTCAAGGTCGCTTCCGTCGTAGCGGCGACGCCAGTGCCGAACCTTGCGGACATTAGCTGCGGCTTCGAGGGCTCGAATTGTGGCTGGTGGAGCAATGCCGGCAGCTGGCAGTCCCGCAGCGGCCCCGCGCCCAACCAGCTCTACACCGGCCCCAGTGCCGCCTTCCGCGACGAGTTCTACGTCCACGTCGAGGCGTATGATGTCATGGCGCAGGCTCTCGTAGAAACTTTCCGTATTGTAGGCGACCGGCGGATATTGGCGGTCTGGGGGGCCTGTAAAGTAGGAAGAGTCCCAGTGTTGTCCCGCAGCAGCCGCACCCCTGCAGAGGACGCAGTGTCGCTTGTCAGCCCCCGATTTCCCGAGCTTCCCAGCGACTGCTACTTGGAGTTCGCGTACCACATGCGCGGGTCTGGCATGGGAGACTTCGAGTTGCAGTACTTCCGCCGGGGCCGCTGGTGGACTCGGTGGTCGCGACGCGGCTCGCAAGGGCCGGACTGGCTCCAGGCAAAAGTCTCGCTGCCTGCAGGCACGTCGATGCTGCGCTTCGTGAGCAGCAACTCGCAAGCCGGGGAGGATTTTTATGGCACCTTGGCGGTGGATGCAATTGCCGCCTGGCAGCCCGAGGCCCAGCCTCAGCCATTCCTGACCCTTTGTTCCGGTGAGCAGCACGGCTGTGCACTTCTCTTGGCTGAAGGCCAGGTGAAGTGTTGGGGAAGGGCCGATGCCGAGGGCCAAGTTGCCTACGGGAGCACCGTGGACGTGGGCACCCTCCCCAAGCAGATGGGCGAGTGGCTTCCGCTGGTTCCCCTTGGCCAGGGCGCACGGGCCCTCCAGCTGGCCTGCGGCCATGTTCGCAGTTGCGCATTGCTCGATGGTGGGCTTCTCAAGTGTTGGGGCGACAATGACGCTGGAGAGCTGGGCCAAGGCCACACTGATGACATCGGCAACGATCCAAACGAGATGGGAGACCAGCTGCCACCGGTGGACCTTGGAAGCGGTGTGGTGCAGGTTGGAATTGGTGGTGACCAGCACACATGCGTGGTGCTCACCGGCGGGCGTGTGAAATGTTTCGGGCGCGGAACCTACCTGGGCTTGGGTGATGGGTCCGGGCCCGAGAGCCAGTATATCTCACTGTATCTCGTTGTTTGTCTGTGCGCCAGGCGGTGGGGCAGGGAAGGCAGATGAAGTCAGGGGGCGAAGTATGGTGAGGTCACACTTTGTGAATTGAGGGTGAACGAGTTCCGAGGCTGAACCGCGGCGACGCGCCTGGCCAGCTGGGTGAGCTCCTCCCGGCTGTTGACCTCGGCACAGACTTCCAAGCCGTGCAGCTGGCCTCCGGGGCAGAGCACACCTGTGCTTTGTCGGACCGAGGTGTGGTGAAGTGCTGGGGCCGGGCTCGATATCTTGGCCTGGGCCTCAGCACGAGTAGCGGTGGTGGCGCTTACATCGGCACCAGCCCCAACGAGATGGGCGACCAGCTCCCTGCAGTGGACCTGCCCCTCCCGGCCGTTCAAATCGCGGCTGGCCACTTGCACACTTGCGCCGCCGCTCGATTTTGACCTACGCAGGGCATCGGTGCTGAAATTCTTGTAGTTCAATTCCCAACGGGCCACAAGTATTCACAAGTTTTGGGTATAGGGTTTAGGGTTGACCTCCGAATCGCCCAAACATCGGATCACTCAACCCCGAATCAATCCCCAAACCCCACAACCTACAGCCCTAAACCCTACACCCCTGAAAAGCCCTAAACCCCGAAAGCCGAAAGCAGGGGAGGAGGGGCGCCGCAGTGCCCAGGTGCTCGCCGACGGCTCGCTGCGGTGCTGGGGCCGCGGCGAGGAGGGCCAACTGGGCCTCGGAAACAAGGAAGATGTTGGCAATGCCCCGGGGCAGATGGGCAGCCTTCCGGCAACGGATCTCGGCGATGGGATGATGGCCCTTCAGGTCGCAGCAGGAGCTTTTCACACCTGTGCCGTCTTGCAGGATGCATCGCTCAAGTGCTGGGGCTGGGGACAGCAGGGCCAGCCCGGGCCTCAAGGGCTCCTCTGACTCATGGCATCTCTCATGGCACGTCGGATGTTTTCGGGGGGCGGTGCCATGCCCAGGCTCGGCCAGGGAAAGAAGGATGACTTGGGCGACAATCCCGGCGAGATGGGCAACGCCCTGCTGCCCATCGATCTGAACAACCACGAGGTGAGGGAGGTGCGCGCCGGCTACAGCCACACATGCGCGGTTCTGGATGACGACTCCACCAGGCCTCGAGTTCCGTGGGATCATGTGAGGTTTGCTTGGAGGACCTGGCAACGACGTAGAGGATTAAAGGATGGGAGTTCTGTAGGGGTTTAAAGGACGGGTGATGTACACTGGCAGTGGGTGGCTACAGTCTCTTCTGCTTGTTGCGATATATGCACCATGTCTTCCAGCAGGTCTGCGGCCGACTTGTTTGCGATCAGTCGGTTGCAAAACCCCCCCCCACCCTATATACCTCATACACAGCTCTAAAGGCCTAGCCCGCAGCGCGACAGCAGAGAAAGTGGAGACAGGGAGGTAATGAGAACGCAGAGCAGGGCAGACTTGGAGTCCTTGTAGTTTTAGCGCTTGGGTGGGGAAAGCATCGTGACCTAGATTGAAAAAGCGGGCTCAGCAGCCTAATGGGCAAGGCATTGCTTTGTAAGTGCCTAGCCATTGCCCAGCAAATCATGGTGGTTGATGTCAGCCGCGATGTTTTTTGTCCAGCATGTCTCATGGGGTAGTTTCGAGCATGTCGCCGGTCGAGAAAGAGTGTGTGTCCATATATTTGTATTTTCACTGGAAGTTTAAGAAGACTTGAGGCCTAAGGCGCAAAACGACTCCAGTTGAGTTGCAGGTACACGCAGACTGGAGAGGAATGTGCTCTGTGTTTTGCACCACCATGACGAATTCTCATCCGGATAGGAGCAGCCTGTGAACTTCGTGACGAGTATGAATTGCAGGGCGAGTTCAGTGCTAGCAGCCATAGCCTACGTTGTGGTTGCGCCTCGGGGGCTCGGGAGGAAGGAAGGGTCGAGGGGCTGGTCGGGGGATCTCAAAGGTGCCTGAAGGCGGTCCCCATCCCGAGCGCGCTTTGCCGATGCATGTTGCGGCAGGTGCTGGGGTTCCAATGATTATGGCCAGTTGGGCATCGGCAGCCAAGGCGGCGTAGGTGCCTTGCCGGGTCAGATGGGTGCAGCTCTGGCACCCACGGAGCTCTTCGTCGTAAAGCCAGGTACCGGAATGGAAGGCTTAAGCCTGACGGGAGGCAATGGTGGCAATGACATCCCCGGCCATGGGGTCCTCCTTCTGCAGCACAACGGCTCGGTTGGCCTTGTTTGCGACGATGCCTTTGATGACATCGCTGCGCAGGTTGCCTGCCGAGACCTTGGCATGGCTGGGGGGGTGGCCTTCTCGGAGGACGTGCAGAGCGGCACCATGCTGGCAGACAACGTCAAGTGTTTCGGCACGGAGGTGAGCCTACGCGAGTGCAGCTTCCGAGGGTGGCAGCTGCACGACTGCACCCCACGAGAAGCTGCAGGCCCGCGGTCGCCACAGGGCTTTGGGGGGGCAAGGCGAGCATTCCTCCGCATGTCTCAGACGATAAACTAAGAGTGTTGTGAACGAACCCTGAATATGAAGATGCTTGCTTTTGCAGGGGTCCGATGCGAGATGGACGCGTGGAGCGAATACACTTCCGCTGGCCCCGCCGGGCGTCAGGAACACTCTTTGGTTTGGGATGCGGCCTCACAGTCGGCATTGATGTTCGGAGGCCACGCTAGCAATGCCTTCCTCTACTTTGCCGACATTTGGCGCTACCACTGGCCGCTGCGTACCTGGACAGAGATCACGGCCCAGAACGTGGGCCCCGGCACCAGATCCGGACATGCGGCTATTTGGGATGCGACTTCCAAGTCCATGTTGATTTTTGCTGGCAAGCACCTGGGAGCTTTCTTCAACGACATCTGGCGCTTCCAAGCCGAGCAAGGTCTCTGGGAGGAGCTCTCTATCGCATCGCCGCCAGCGGCGAGAGCTTACCACTCGGCGATCTGGGATGCGGGCGGGCGTAGCGTGTTGGTCTTCGGCGGTGAGAACAGCGTGGTGTTGAACGACCTGCAGCGCTACAGTGTCGAAACAGGGTCCTGGAGTCAGGCAGGTGGGCCGAGTGACCCACGACCCCGCAGCAGGCACACGGCCGTTTGGGATGCAGCAACCCGTTACATGCTGGTCTTTGGTGGCTCGGCTAAGTCTGGCCTGCGGGACCCGGGACGAGCGTGCAATCATCACTCCTTGTTGTCCTCGCAGTTTTCGGCTTGAGCATGTGTCTGTGATATTGTCATTATATGCTTTTATCTTCACGGGGAAGAAGATTGGAAATTAGAGTTTTTGCAATGGAGTTTTCTTCATGTATTTATTCACTACATTTTTCAGTTGTACACCTTTATGATTTACCTGTCACATGCATTTCTACATTCACTGTATGCACTTCATTCATAGATTTATTCACACTTTATTTCCTCTTTCTTTAGGACCTTTTCTACACGAACAAAAGAAGGGCACAAAGTATATTATATGAGTGTATTACTGCTGAGCAATCTTAGGATTAAAAGATAGAGTAAAACCCTATAAAAATATTCAATTGGAAGTGAAATGAACTCGCTCATTAATTTCACTCACACCTTGGTACGTTTTCTCGTTCACTTCTTCTATCTTCTTCAATCATATCTTCACCTTGTTTTTGTAATTTGCAAGGCCCATTATTATTGTAGTGTGTTTTTGGGCCTTTATTGCATTCACTTTTCTCTCTTGTTAGTTCAGGGGCTCGGCTTCGACTCGTCGTTTGACTTTCCAATTGCTCATCGCCATCGAGGTGCATCCTTGTTTCTCTCAGGTGTGTTTGAGCAATGCTGAGAAACGGGTTGCAGTAGCTCTGATGAACACCCGTACGCTTTCTGCAAAGTCTTACATGTTAGGTGGTTGGAGCGGCCAGCAGTACTTGGAGGACTTGCACCGCTACGACGCCTGGGCCAACAGCTGGGTCGAGCTCCAGGCCGCCGGGTTCTGGCCCGCCCCTCGCGCCGGGCATGCATCTGCATGGGACCCTGTGTCGATGAGCATGCTGATCTTCGGGGGCATCCAGGACCGGAACGACAGCTTCGGCTACGACGGCGGCCTCTACAACTACAGCCTCCTCACAAGCTCCTGGACACAAGCGGGCTTGCAAGCCTCTGTTCCCGGCCCGGCCGGCCGCACAGGGCAAGCGGTAGTTTGGGATGCGGACTCTCACGGGCTGCTCTCCTTTGGTGGCTTCAACTCGTCCTACCTCCGCGATACCTGGCGCTATGTGGTCAGCCAGACCCAGCCACCTTTGCTTGTGCAGTGCTACCTGGGCCACGAGTGCCCGCCATCTTGGTCACCCGGAGCGGAGGTGAAGCGTGCCTGCGCCGATGATGAGGCCCTAAAAGGCTCGGAGGCCTTGCGTCCCGACAACGAGTCAGCTTCCAACGCATCGGCCCTCTTCATGGAGCCGGGGCACCACCGCCTCTGTGAGTGCCAATTCGACAACTGCAGCAATGCCGCCGCCTTTCAAACTGCTGTGGGCTACTTCAGTGCGTTTGGGCCGTACCAGAACCAGTCTGCGGAGTGCGACCTCGGATCTTCCTGCAAGATCCCCGCATGGAGAGGAGTCGGCATCTCAGCCAACGACAGCATCATCGTGCAGAGCCGGTGCAGGACCATGGCGGCTTCCGTGACCTATCCTCAACGCCGTGTGGAGATCTCCTTCAACGAGTCTATGGGCTATTTTGAGCTCGACATGGGTTTCCTGGAGGAGAGCCCACCTCAGATCCTTGAGCTTTGCTGGTGTCCCGCGGGCAGGCCTTGCGCTTCTGCAGAGGAGTTTCTGGCCTTAGCGCTGCGACTTCATCTCCTTTGCCCCCCCGGACAATACGAGCTCTCCTCCAACTGCGAGGTTTGCCCTGCGGATTCCTATTGCTCGGGAGGCCAGCAGTTGAGGAGCTGCCCGCCTGCAAGCACTGCTCCGGTCGGCTCCAGTCAGCACCTCAGCACCTCAGGTTTTCAGACGTGTAAAGCCAGAGTAAGCTGTGCCATATCCTAAGCCGATGTAAGCTGTATATGCGTAAGCCACGGCTGGTATGGCTGGTGTCTGAGGTCAGCTGGGCCACTGCACGTGCCTTCCTGGGCGGTACTGGGCCGACGGCGCCTGTCGAAGCTGCCCTGCGGGGTCCACCTCGGAGGCCGACTTTTCCCTTCTTTTGCGACCAGGTGGCCATCTCTCGTGTGTTTCTATGTGTTTCTGTATTTCGGTTAGCGTGCCCGTAAATCGGTCGTGGGCTTGCAATCATTGGCGAACTACGACCTGCCTTCTCTCATGAATATGCTCAGTGACAGTAGACCGGCTAAATAGTCTTAACAGGCCAATGAACTGAATGTGTCTTTGAATTGGGCGAGATTCAGTCACGAACGCAGTGAGGAAGCGAGATGAGAGCAGGAGCACACAGAATACGTTGACGATGCGAATGTCCCGAACGTGCCTAATGACAGTACCTCAACCAGCAAGCGATACGAATGAAGTGAGTGAGCGGTGTGAAGTGGAAAGCAAAAGCCCAAGCTGCAGGAGGCGTCGATTGCGGGGGTCGTTTGCTGTTCAGGCTTGCAGACCCATCTTGCTGCTCCTACACCCCGAAATTATATATAGACATGCACAGGTTCTTTGCAGGTGAGTGGCACGGTTTTCTGACTAGGTCAGCACACGAACACTGGATTCCAATTTCGTCCCACAGCCCAGACCCCACAGCCCGCTTTCGTTCACATTCTCACTGAGCCTAGGGAACGAAGTGCATAGTAAGTCCCTTGTGAGCTCGGGGCTTGACCTCAGACGAGCTGGGAGGCGGGAGCTACGAACTTGACTTCGTGCACGTGCATGCCGGGCTTTGTGAACATTCTGCCCGACGACCCGTCAGCGTGTGAGGTGTGCGGCTTCGGCTACTTTTGCAGTGGCACCACTCACCGGGAGCAATGCAACATTTCCCAGACCACCGAGACCGAGACAGCCGGCCAGCTGTCAGACTGCGTCTGCGTGGCGGGCACTTTTCTAGAGGACGGGCTTTGCATGCCCTGTGAGGTTGGCTACTTCAAGGTCAACAGCGGAAACCTGCCCTGCACCCAGTGCGCGGTCGGCACCTACAGCAACATGACAGGGGCCATCCAGCCGTGTGAATGCAGTGCTGGCTATGGCTACGACGACAAGAATGCGGAAGCGGGCCCCACGCCTTGCACGCCTTGTGCCGAGGGAGAGTACAAGGCGACGGTGGGCAACGTGCTGTGTGACAGGTGCTCCTTGGAGAAGACCTCCCAAATGGCGTCCACATCGGTCCTCGACTGTTACTGTCGCCCGGGCCTGGCTCCCGACGGAGACGAAGGAGACGGTTGCCGGACCTGCTCGGAGGGCTTCTTCTGCCCTGGTGCCACTGGTGCAGGCGAGAACAACGGCGAGCAACTGGAGCAACCCTGCCCTGTCGGTGCCAGCTCGCCTGCCGGCTCCAGCACCCAGTCAGACTGTACTTGTTTGCCAGGTCGCTACTCGACTGGCTCGTCCTGCGAGCCTTGCCCAGCTGGGCGCTACAAGCCCACCGCCAGCAACGACCCGTCGTGCCCATTGCAATGCCCGACCAACTCCAACAGCCCGATCAAATCCATCAGCCTCTCCAACTGCTCCTGCACAGCCGGGTACTACGCAGTGCTCGACACAGCAGGCTTGCTCTCCCGGTGTGCGAGCTGCGAGTCCTTCACCCAACTGAGCTGCCCTGGCGGCTTCCAGGATCCGAACGCCAGCGTCCCCCTCCACCGCCAGCCCCTCGCCCTTCCAGGCTACTTCCAAACCGGCATCACCGCAGCCACCAAGTGCAATGTCCTCTCTCAGGATGGCCTGGGAAGCGCTTGCCTCGGCGGGCACCTTTGCGTGGAAGTGGCTGTGCTGGGCTGCTTGGGCAAGTACGGCAACGCCTGTGCCGAAGGCTCCACAGGCCTGCTTTGTGGCGAGTGCCCAGTGGGCTGGGCGCGGAGTGCCTTCCAGGAGCCCTGCCAGCCTTGCACTTTAGCCACGCTGCCGATGATCGCGTCGGTTTCCATCGAGGTCGTCACCAAGGCGGCCATCAGCTTCGTCGTCGCGTCCATGGCCGCAACTGCAGCAGTCCGCGGCAGCAGCAAGCTACATGCGAGCATGATCCGCATCGCCACACAGTGGCTGGCTGCCTGCTCCGTCATCGCCACCTTCGATCTCAGCCAGATCCGCTCCGCGTGGGCGGATCTGGAAAAGGAAGATGAGGCCAGCAGCAGCACCTTTCCGTGGCCCGCAGAGATCACGGCTGCCATGGCAGGCCTGTTTGAGTTGCTCACACTGACGCCCGTCCTGACCTCCGTCGACATGCACACCCAGTGCATCGCCCAGGAGCTTTCGCCCGACCCTGCGGCCCCACGCATCGCCCTCGGCATTTACCAGCTCTCCCTGCCTCTGCTCGTGATGCTGGGCTGCATCTTGCTCTCGTTTGCAGCCGTCCACTTACTGGTCCCTGTCTGTGCCCGGTCATGGGACATCTCCTTCAACGAGGCGGGATCGGGCGTTAAGCAGTTGCTTAAGAATCAAGAAAGATGGAAATGGTAAGGTAAGGAAACATTCAATGTTTAAGGCATCAAGAAGCCCTGACGTATGTACCAAAGCACGTGGGATCAAAAAGTTTTTCACCTTCCCCCTAATATGTGTGGGTGGGTGTGTATATATATATATATATAATTTCCAACCTTCTATAGAAGGGACCCGACATGAGTAGCTCCCAGTTATGAATGGATCCCTGAAAAGGCGGGAGGGGATTTTTCAGATGCCAAACCCTCCATAAGAAGGCCGGGCGCCGGCGCCAGCGCCGATCCAAGGCCCTGCGCCGGTTGCAGGGAGGCGTGGAGCGGTCGCTGCAGCGGGCAGAGCTTGCGGATGAGTTCGCTCCGATCTGGGAGGAGCTAAAGACCTCAGGGGCGCTGCTGCTGCCCATCGCACAGCTCGACTGGGCCGTCAAGGACCCCGACGCCTTCCTGCGCGAGGCCACCCGAAAGTCCCGGCCCCTGCTCCTCCGCGCCTGCTGCGCCCGTGCGAGCAGCGCAGCGGGCACAACCGTGGCGCTCGAGCCAGCGGCCCTGGACGCCATGCTGCCCAGCGACTTCTCCAGCGAAGCCATGGACTTCTCCTCGATGCTTGACGACGCCCTGGCCACAGCCGCAGCCACCACTGCGCCGACTGTGCCCCTCGACGCCATCGCTGTCGGCACGAATGAGCTCGACCTTTCGGATCCTCAGGCAGCGAGCCTTGGCTTGGATCCTTCCGCTTAGATTTGGTTGCTTATTAGTTCTGTTCTAAATTTTTCTGTTCATGCAAGACGCTACAACCGGAGCCACCGCACGAGGTATACAGCCAGGACCCAGGAGAAGCAGCTGGCTTCCCTCGCGTCCGAGCTCGACATAGAGCATGAGATCGACGAGGCACCGGCTGACACGAAACATATCACATGGAGCGGTTGCAAGATGCCTAAACCCTAAACCCTAAACCCTAAACCCTAAACCCTAAACCCTAAACCCATGCAAGTGTGCCTGTGCAGAAAAACAGGTGATGGACTCCCTGGACTTTGGCCTCTTCTCGCCGGCACCTTCCTTTGGTCAGTTGGTGTACCAGTGCCTGCCCATCATCTGGATCAGCTTGGTGTCACTGTGGCCGGGGCTCTTGTCCAGTTTCCTTCGCATGATTTGGTGCGTGCCAATCCGAGAGGAGACGGCCTGCAAGTACCTGTCTATATCTAGAACCTATCACATGAAACCTCAGCTCTTTCTTCCGTGAAGCTGCACAAGACCAGCACAGTATCATGTTGAGCTTAGGACTGCCAAGAGAGTACTGTTTTTTCGGTCTCTTTGGGGGGGGCAGGATGGCATAGTCGTGAGCCGGCTGATGCCGAATCCAGACATCGTCTGCTGGTCCACGGAGCACTATCCCTCTGCCTTCCTCGCAGTCTTGGGGCTCGTGATCTGGTGTTTTGGCATCCCCGTGACGCTGGCCCTCCGCGTGCTCCGGCTCCAAGACCGGCAATCTCCCGAGAACTACAGGCCGCCCTTTTTTTTGAGGGGGGGGGGGGGTTTAGGGTGTAGGGTTTAGGGTTTAGGGGGGGAAGGATGGAGAGAGTTTCTCCTTAGAGAGGCACACTGCATCGCAGGCGCTACGGCTACTTCTTCCAGGGCCTGGAGCCTGGGTGGCTGTGCTCCTGTTGAGGAACTTCTTGTACGTTGCCACAATCGGGGACTCCTCATCTTCTCTTCTTCTCTCTTCCTATGTGTGGTATATCAAGCTTATTCATTAAGTTCCTGAACAAAAGCCCAGGTTGTGGTGGTGGGACATCCTCGTCAAGCGCGCAGACGTGGGCCTGATGATGATCGTGACATACACCTCGGCCGTGCGAGACCCCGAGGCCCGAGCCAAAACAACCTCCACCCTTCCCCCCCAAGAAAGCAACCTGTCTTGCTAGCAGTCGGGTTACCTTTCTACCTTTGGCAGTGATGTCGGGGTCGGCGCTCCCAAAAAGAGTGGGGGTTGCTAGTGCCATAGCCCGCAATAGGCATGGGAATCCCTTCAGCTCGCGGAATCTCGCGAGGCGAAGTTGATGCTCTTCCCCGTCCTCTCTGGCCTCCAGGCGTGAGAAGACTTCTGCCCGAAGAAGATACGATTGTAGTAGAGACTTCCCCCCCCCCAAAAAAAAACAAAATCCTTATATGGGATATGCCATGAAAATACAGACCCCACGGGCCCACGAAAAGGGCTACCAGAATTGCAGCCGCCCCATGTGCTACCACCCAAGCCCCTCGAACCCCGAAACCCCCCATCTAAACCCCTAAACTAACCCTCCCCCTAAACCTCCCTAAACCCCCGAAAACTTGGGAGGCCTTGCTGGTCAGTTGGGTGAGGCCCAATTTCAACGATCAGGCCCAGGTCCTCGACATCGTGGAGGCGGATGGCGCGAGGAGTAGTTTGCAATTCTGTTCTATTCCATTTCTCGTTCTAGTTCTAGAGCTGTTTCTATATTTGTTTTGCCTAAGCTATAGCATAATATTTACAGTATTGTTATGGTAAAACATAGCATATGTCATATAATGGGTCGTGTACAATTTACAGCATTGCGTGGCCTGCCGCCATTGTGCAGTTTGAAGTGCTGTTATTTACAGCATTTGGAGTTTCGGAAGAGTTCGCGATAAATATTCTGTGTGTCTTTGCTGTTTTTGGTTTTTTCAATTTCTTTTTGATCCCTCACCCTCAGGTACCTAGAGTTTTGTCTCGCAACCGTCAGTGTAACAAGCTTCTTGAGATCTCTCTGCTGCGTGAGGTTCTAAACATGATTTTCTGCCTGAGCACCATGAACAAGAACTCATAAGATCTAACACCCAGGTGGAGGGGGAGGGGCTAGCACATGGCTACTCCCCTGATTGACCTACCAATTTTTGCGCACTGACGGCTGTATGTAAGAAGTGATCCCGAAGAAGGTAAGGTTGGCAGAGAACGTTATGAAGCAGCAAGCCTAAACAATAAGAAGTTCGCGCACTGCATATGCAAATTTGTTTCGTTGACTATAAGACAGCCACTAGAATTTGTGCATCGGCTGTAAAAATGGAGGCCTTTCATGTTCTAGAATCTAAAGAGATGAAGAAGGTTGAACTCGTGCGTATGCTCCCCGCCGCACATTCATTACAGACTGAACAATATTATTCGCAGACATGAATTTGAAAACCCCCGAGTTCGTTCAACGAGCACTATCATCGACTTCCTTTAGTATGTATTTTTTTGACCGAACCAACAACATAAACATCATTGATGACTGTATCAATTAGCTAAAGAGGCAAGTTGACGAATGAGCAAAGAGGCCAGTTGACGAAATGTAAATCCAACGACTGAATCGACGCCATAGCTTGCTCATAATATTACCCTCCGCCCCCAATTTAGAAACTTTACAACATTAAGGGGATTGAAATGAATACTGTTAGGAATGCATGTCATATATATGGTTCAGCGTCGAGCGTCCTGGGCCCCACCCCCCCCCCCCCCATGGTATCCCCCCCCACCCCCCCCCCCAAGCCTACTCTACGGTCCCTAAACCCTAGACCCTAAACCCTAAACCCTAAACCCTAAACCCTAACCCTAAAACCTAAACCCTAACCCTAAACCCTAAACCTTAAGTCTTAAACCTTAAACCCTAAACCCTAAAACCTTGAACCCTAAACCCTAACCCTAAAACCAACCCCCAACCACACCACAGGGGGGGGGGGGGGATCATCTTAGTACCCCATCCGCGGGGAAAACCCTAGACCCTAAACCCTAAACCCTAAAACCCTAAACCGTAAACCCTAACCCCTAAACCCTAAAACCCTAAAACCTAAAACCTAAAACCCATAAACCCTAAAACCAACCCCCAACCACACCACAGGGGGGGGGGGGTACCATTGAGGGGGGGGGTAGGGGGGAGGGGGGGGGGGCCCGCCGGGGCTGAATCATTATATATATATATATGTATATACGTATATATATATATATATATGCATATATATATATATATATGTTATAACCCCGCCCCCAGCTTCATAAGGTAGATCTCAGATTCAACATCCACGATTAAAGCTTTTGAGGCATAGCCCTACAAATCCAAGATCCAAGGCTTCGATATCTAAGAACCCAAGATCCAAGAAGGACATAATATGGTTAAACCTTTGTTACTATATTCACGACATCTGTGTTGGTGCATGCGTGTTAGGTACGTATGTACGTACGTACGCATGTATGCATACATATTGTTTTCTTTGACTGGGCGCATTGTTACGTACGTATGTACGTACGTATGTATGTATGTATACGTATTGGCTCAACTGCTAAATTGCTGCTTTATTATTCTTATGATCTAGATAAAAAAATATTATTATCCTTATGATTTAAATATTATTTCGGTTAGCTACCAGATTCTTGTGCATTGCAAACGACAAAGTGTATGATGCGTGATCGGAGATATTGGAGACGTGGGGAAGATCGGGGATGCATAGAGGGCGTTGTGTGCATATACGGGGCACTGCAGTAATGACATGTCAAAGAAGGGCCTGCAGGGTTTATGTGGTTTATAGTCGGTCTCAGGTGACGCTGGCCACGATCCGCTTCCTTCTTTTCAGCTCGGTGGCCGCGCTCCTGATCCTCAAGCCGTCCCAGGATGCTACGCACGTGCCCCTTGGACCTCTCATTTTGAGCAGGTGGATGATGAGCGGGGAGGACCACAGAAGATAGAACCAATGCAGAAAGCACCCCATTGATCACAACGATCGAGCCGAGGGTGGCCTACTTGCTCTTCCTGGTCCTGACAGTAGCCTGCGGCTACTTCCTCGTGCACATCGCTGCCCAGCTTCTCCGGGATGCCTCGACCGGCCATCCCACACATATGAGCTCAGCGCCAAGGAGGTTCCTAGGCCGGGCACGGCAACAGGGACGGGGCCGGGGACCTCCGGCACAGTTCATCTGTGAGGCCGCGCCAAGCATCTGGCAGTGAAGTGGGCCCTGCCCTTCTTCAAAGAGGCATCGGTGGGGTCCTATACTCCTGATACTTCGTTCTGCAGCTCCTGCACACCTCAAAAGAGTATGAGAGAGTACTGAGAGAGTATTGGAAGAGTATTGAGAGAAGTCTGAGACGCAGAGAGGACGCCTCTGAGACGCTGCAGCTGGCCTGGTCCTTCAGAGCCGATGGCATCACGGCCACGGCACGAGCCAAGAGGATCTCACCAGTGCCGAGGGTATTCGAGGGTATTTTCATGTACCTTCTATAATTCGAGTTTCGGAACTTGCCGGAGGAGCGTAAGGAGCAACAGCTTCTTGTCCGCGGGGCAGCAGCGCGGCTCGGAGCCCGGCGTGCTTTACGCGTGCGTTCTCAGAAAACCTGTGCCTGAAAAAGCTTAGGCTTCCGGTTGCTGCAGCAGGCCCGGGGCTTTGTGCTCCGCATCGGGTCGCAGTTCCAGCATGCGGTGCTTCTGAAGGCGGGAGGGAAGCGCCAACATCGTCAACCCCTAAAGAGGCCCTAGCAGGCCTTATAAACTCCCATCGGCCGCAGGCCGCAGGGCCCCCTGGGGTTTATATGCATATACAGAGGTTCCATGCTGTAGATTCAAGCGACTCGGGATACTTATCCTAAGAGGCCGAGCAAGAATTTGCGGCCTGGTGGCTGCAGCAGCTGAAGCAGAAGAAGTTGCCGCGCTTCGAGCAAGTCTGTGCCCTTGCGACTTGCCACACTGCCCTACCGCACCTGCTTGCCAGCAAACGCATCGCGGGTTTGTGGATGCAGCAGCTGGACGCCCTCACCGGACAAGAAGGGCCCTTCACGTGCAGTCCGGAGGACTCAAGCCCCCTCAAGCCCCCCACCCCCATCCCCAAAATTCCTTGCAGCAACCCCCCCGAAAATCCACGAAAACTCCCCTAAAGCCCTGTACGTCGCAAACCCCTCACGGCCCTCACATTGCGCAGCAAGGACTTGCAGCGCACCGTCCGGCGCCTGAGGCAAATGCCATCAGAGCATGCTGTGGAGCTCGTCGAGCACGCCATGGCCCTTTTCGAAGAACAGAAGCAGCTCCAAGATTATGTCGAGTTTTGAGATGACATGGAGGTGGGTGTCTGAACTTGAGCTCCTTCCTAATGTTGAAGTGTTTGGTTCCTGTCAGAGGGCTTGCACGCTAGACCGAGGCCACCTGAACCCAAGAGCCCACCCTGAGAAGCACTTGCCTCCATACACAAAATCCAGTTTTCTCCCGGCTGACGTGTCGCTTGAAGCAGGAGTATGGCATGGCTAACGACGCATTTGGGCGATGCACCTTCTGTATCACAGTACAGGGGCAGTGCATGATAAGAAAGCGATCGTTCGGGGGTAGCTTTGGAGAATTTGGGTTTCCCTTCGCCAAGCATCCAGCTCAAATGAGAGGGCTCAGCTTCGGAAAATTTGGGGACTAGTGTGAGAGGTGAAACCCCAATTTAGTTCCTGCAACCCTGAATTCCGAGGCAAGAAACCTAAAGTTTTGCCCCAAGCTGAGTACTTCATGTGTTTCCCATGATTTTCAATGATTTTGCAAGCTGTCGCTGAGAGGGTCAAAGCCCCCTCCTCTTCCTCGAGGGCTTCAGGATCCGGACATTGCCATTATGTCTCTGGGGTTTAGGGTTTAGGGTTTAGGGTTTAGGGTCTCTGAGTGTGGTCCACATCATGTCGTAGCCTCGTAACCTAGGCCCTACTTGAACATCCTCTCAACCGGCACCCCTGAAGCCCTCAATGCGACAAGCGAAGCTCTCCAAATGGGCTCTCAGCCCGAAGCCTGGGAACTGCAGCAGGTGGTTTGTAGGGCTTGTGTTATTGGGCCCAGTTGTAGGGTTCGATTCGTCTAGAATAGATGGTCCGAAGCTGCCCCTCCAGATTTTGGGCACCCGACGCGGGTGACGTCGAATCGCCGAACCCGATGCAGTATTATCATCACAGTGCGCCGCAGTACCTGCACGAAAATTCAGCACGACGATTATGATGTGAGAAGAGAATGCCATGTGCTGCCGACCGAGAAAAGTCCTCTTCCAAGGGCATCGGGATCCGGACATTGCCAGGCCCTATGTTTCTGAGTGCAGGCAGCATCACATCCTCACAGCCCGAAGCTCAACAAACAGAAGTCTGGATGATCTGATTGATTGGTGCTCGAAGCAGATGCTCTACACATAAAACTCCTAAACATACCTGAACATACCTAAATCGTGAATGATCCCGCTCCTCTCCCCAGCCCTCCACGTTACTTTGAGCTCTGCATCTGATAAGAATCGGCAAATGTACTACAAGCTTGGACAAGGAAGGCGCGGCACGACACGACATGAGGACAAGAAATGAGGACAAAGACGGAACATGTGCGAGGACATGAACACACGAGGACATGACATGAAGATGAGACCCGAGACGGCGCGAAGATATGACGACAGAGAAGAGGACACCGATGCAAGATATGAGACGAGAAATACTTCATAAACATGATGCGAAGATATCCCTCTTCTTCTAGACAGTCCTGACGCAGAAATACCATCGTGGATGCTTGTTTTCATGCAGAAAGCACAGCAGCCGATCGATGCAAATGTCTCGGCCGCAAGACATGAGTTTAGGCGGTGAGCCTCTGTAGAGTCTCAGGCAATGTGTTGGTGAGGAATTCGAGTCTCAGCTGATCCCTTTTGGAGCAAAAGTATACTTGAAGCCAACATCGACCCGTGAACCAAGCTACGGAGGAAAGTTTGATCCGAAAGGCGTACCAGGCATCTGGGCCGGGTATGTGCTCAACGCAGGACAAAGTTGGTCGACAAAATGTCGGCCATGGGACATGAAGGAATTTGCGAACGCCAATCTTTCGAATGATGCGAAGGTTCCTCGCAAGCTCCAAATTCCGTACGTCACCGAGAGAGTCATCATGGCAGAGGCAATTACCTTTCCTCTCAAGGCGGAGTACGAAAGGTTGAACGGGACGCTGGAAGGATTAAAGGAAAACAAAGAGCTTCAAGGGAAGGAAATCAGAGAGAAACCTCCAGGTGGGGATGATGACGATGGAGCTTCTCCACCGAAGGACAAGAGGATTGATGACGGCAAACAACGCGAAGCTCCTGATTCGGGGGGCGTTGGAGCATTGGACGATGAAGCCGCAGATCTCGATCTGTTGGGTGGTGATTCTGAACCAAGCATCCCTGACGACGATCCAAAAGAGAACAGTGACGACGATGATAATTGAGGAATCAGAGGATGCCAAAGGTTTGAGAGAAGCTGGAGAGAAGCTACTTGAAGGAGAGAGTAATCCAGGTGTTTTTCTCTAGACACAGATTACTCAAAACTCAAAGAGGCACAGAGAGGGAGTAAGAGAGAGAGAGGGGGGGACGGTGCAGGCATGACAGGGGAGAGTTACATAGATTTTGGTTTTGAGAACCCCAACAAGCACTGCCTTCGAGCCAGGGCAACACTGTTCAGCGCATTAGGGATAGAGCGGGTCATTGGTGCCAAGCGTGGATACTGAACCTGGCAGTTTCACCGGCGGGCAACAGAAGGATGCCGAACTAGCGCCAGTGGGATTCCTCGCAGGGTGCACCTTGCAATTCGATAGGTGGTTAGCTGGTCGTGATGGTGTGGGTGGGTAGGGGGAATCCACACAGCTCGGGCATCAACCTCAACCGTGAAACTTGGTCTGGGCGCACCCAGTGCGCGGGAGGCCCTTAGGGGTTCCTCAAGCCCAGAAGAAGAAGAAGAAGAAGAAGAAGAAGAAGAAGAAGAAGAAGAAGAAGAAGAAGAAGAGAGAGCGGGTACCCCTAGGTATCTCTTCCTAGGCACAGGTGCTCAAAGGCACAGAGAGAAAGAGAACAGATAGGCCCCGTGGCATGCTAAAATGGGCGGAGATTAAAAGATTGTCAATGCCAGTAAATCTTCGCGACCATCTTGCCGGCCTGCCGTGCTGCGGAATGGAAGAGCAAGGGCAAGAAGATTGCCCGCCTTGCCCTCCTCGTGTTTCTGCACCAGCCCCACATGAAAGACGGGCAAGAAGGGCAAGACGGCAAAGTGGCAGCAAGGGCAAGAAGTGCCAGAAGGATTCACGAAATGATGCCCCCCATGACCTGGGGCACTCAACTCACGTGTATCTGGTCGGTAGATCACAAGGCTTGCGACTAGCGACTAGCTGATTTCTGTAGCTCTCCAAACACTGTCTGACATTCCTGACGACTTAAAACGTGCCCAGCTCTACTTGCTGCTGGAGTTCTCAAACCTAGTCCAGTGAGGACAGCTTGTTGCCTGTTTGAGCAAGTTGTCATTGAGCTTGGCCCGAAGTCCTGCTCCAAATGGCAAGCGGCGGACATGTCAAAAACAACTACCCTGGTGAAGGCCTTATTTTCCACGACCATGGTCAATGCTTGCAACCCTTAGAGTCATCGTAGGCATGGCCCTCAATGGGTAGTGGACATGTATCTGCTCAAGACAACCTTCCATCACAAGTGACCGTTCAACGGACTTCCAGCGCGATGGGGGCACGCAGCGACTTCGCAAATTTGCTTCGGCGCTACTGGACGCTGGTCATGTCTCAGCATGGGCTTTGTACGGCGGGCAAACTGTCCAGACATCCGTTCCTTAATTTCAAACCTGAGCTAACTTAACCCAGCACTCATGCCCGTGCGTGACTGCCTAGGTCGCTGTTCCTGGGCAATGTCCTGGAATGGTATGAATATGCAGTTTATGGCTATCTGGTGTCGCGGCGCAATAATGTCGTCGTTATCCTGTTCGTATCCAGCCGGCTTGCTCTTGCCATGGAAGCCTACGGCAGGTTTCGGCTGAGTTGCCAGGCATACTGAAACTCACGGATGTTTGTTTTCGCCCCACATGCTTCAGCATGTCCCGGAAGTGTTTGGCAGAAACCCGGCAAAAAACCAGCTTGTGATCGAAGAAGGGCCACACCATGACCCGGTAGTGTACGAAGGTGATATTTCTGGAGGACAACTTCTTCCACGGTTCCGAAGTGGCCACATGGCTAGGCTGCTCGGTTTCTTTCATGTTTCTTGGTTTCTTTCATGTTTTCTTTCGGAGTGTCCATCGGGATAGCTCGGCGATGTGGAAGTGATGGCTCCTGGCGCTCGCGATGCTGCGATCAGAAGCCCTAAACCCTGAACTTGGGCCCTAAACCCTAAACCCTAAACCCTAAACCCTAAACAAAAAAAAAACCTAAACTCCAAAACCCAAATTCTAAACCAACCTAAACCTTCAATCCTAAACCCTAAATGTCATGGAGGCTACTCTGCGACCTTTGTCGCACGCCCTTTGGGCGGGCTGGTCTTGGGCCTTGCCGGTGCCTCAGACGGATCGCCCTTTAGCACCGCACTTTATGTGTCAGGTTTAGGGTTTTAGGGTTTTAGGGCTTTAGGGCTTTAGGGTTTTAGGGCTTTAGGGTTTTAGGGTTTTAGGGTTTTAGGGTTTTAGGGTTTTAGAGTTTAGGGTTCAGGGTTGCAGTAGCGTGTTGTAGGGTTTTGGGTCAGGCATGTCCGGCAACAATCAGGCAGCCACCGATCGGTACAGCTTTGTTGTGCAGACTGCTGACTCTAGTCAGCTTCTGGATGAACCGAGATGGGTGATATCTGGGGGCGTCGCACATCGCTCACTGTGTCCATCGTTGGCATGGTCGCCGCGGGCTTGGTGATTGAGATACTGCATCTGGCTTCAGAAGACACCGTGACATGCTGTTTGACATTCGGGCGCCCGGTATTTAAGAGCAACGCGCGCTTCGTGAAGCCACTGAAACCAGGCATGACGCAGCCCCGACTAAGAACAGCTTCTTCTGAGCCATTCTGGGCTGGTACCTCTGGGATGAAATTCTTGAGATTCCTATACGGCCACGAGCAGGGGGTCCCCGTTGTTAATGTATCGTGCAGGGGGGGTTCTGCAACGTGCAGAGGGTCGTCCGGACACGTTTTGTTGCGGTGAGTTCATTTTTTGGCTGGGTTCTGCCCCCCCCCCCCTCAAAAAAAAAGAACTCCAGGCCGGCCACGTCAGTGCTCGGGCTGGCATGCTCCCAGATCCATTCAGAACAGTCCAAGAAACTCTCCCGGAAGACACCCAGAAGACACACGGGTCTCCGAAAATAGGGGTACCCTTTTTGGGGGCTCCCTTTAAGGGGATTTTATTCTATTTGGGGTAAGAAAGGGGTACCCCTATTTTGGGAAATCCCCTTCCTACCAGAAGACATTCTCCCTGAAAACTGGGGTAGCAAAGTAAGCCCGCATTCTCGTCCCAAGAAAGTCCAGGTTTGCTTTTTTCAGCCTCTAGACGTAGTCCAAGACACTTTCCCGGAAGACAGACTCCCAGAAGACATACTCCCGGAAGACATACTCCTTTCTTTCTGTAGAAATGGGCTGCATCAGGAAGTGCAACCCATTCCTCCTGGCCCCGCTCTCCCGGACAATGTAGACAGGCATAAGGATCCTGCTAAAAGTAGCTGGTGGGGTGTCCGGCTTGAACGGCTCGCGGGAGAGTGAACAAAGGCTTGTCCGGCGCTGGCAAATGTAGTTGGCTTCTGACCTGCACCCTGATCCAGCCTGAACACCCAAAGCCTCAACCCAAAGCCCTCGCCGCTCCTGGAAATGGAGGGGTTTGGATTGTACTGGGGGGCTTGGATACATGGCGGCGCGGCGCGGAAGCTGCGCACTGCCGGGGGGGGGGGGGGGGGGTCCATGCAACGTAGGCGTCCCCCCCTCTACACCCCCTTGGGCCACGAGTTCCTTGAGCAGCAACGACATACGAATCGATGATCGAGCCATCGGGGTTGGCTTCAGGGCGAGTCACAGGCCGATTGCTTCTAACTTTCCTAGAACTTTCGGAATCTCTCCTCCTACATCAGGTTGGGACGGTCGGTCAGGGCTTGCTGCCCAGCCACCTCAGCCATGGTGAGGCAAGGTTGGGACAAGAAGAGGATTATCAAACAAATGTTCCAGTTTAGATACATATGAATATCATGTACATACATGTTCTTCTGACTTCCATGGTGCAGGCATGGTAGTGTCTCCTAAGTTCTGGACCAGGTCGTGGACTCTTTTTCAGGGTACCCAGAAAGGAGCCTGATATTGGATGCCAGAGCATGTTTGTCCAGTCATGTCAGTCTGCTTGGGCGACCCATGCAGTTTGGTTTAGTGAAGGCATGGGGCAACTTTGGCACCGTCATGCTCTTTATCCTGCGGATCGTGCAGGGCTTGTGCACCGGTGGAGAGGCATGGACGATCTCTGGGTTGTGAATTTGCGTTTTTTGTCCGAGCAACATGGGATCTATGCCGACCTCACGTCATGCAGCGCAGAGTTGGAGCGATCATTGCTTCTATCGTATCTTCCTCCATGATGTCTTCCCGTGCCTGCGAGATAAGCACCGTGTCCACATACATCATCGAGGCAGGCTGCCTTCTGACCTCTTCACACTGCAAATCTTCAGCGCTATGAGCTGGTCAAATCGCGATGTGTTCACAGGTGGGTTCCAGACAGACCCTTGCCCGGAGCATGTCACTCATCTCGGTATCCATCTATGTGGGACTATTTCTGGCACAAGGAGTAGTGTGGCTGGTGCAGGACGTGCCCGTGTTGATGCTTATCATTCTTTCGTACCAGTTATGCCGGGTATCTCAACAATGCCACTGCACAGCACTGTTGCACCCTCGACATTGTAGGCTGCACGCGTGTTTTCAGCCGAGATGGCATTTAACACGAGCAAAGGCTCTAAGCCGACTTGACTTCGAATGAGACTCGTGCAGGACCAGCTCACCCCTGAAGCCATGCGGCTGTGGGGCTGGCGGCTGCCTTTTCTCATTTCCATTGTGCCAGGAGCCCTCACCATAGCAGGACATCAGGGGCGAAAGCGCGAACCCGAACGTCTTGACTTGAGCCGATGCGGAATTGCACCACTGGTACAAGTTGCCGACACGCACCAACCCAGCTTCTTGAGTCTTATCAAGAGCTTCACATCGGAGCCACTCAATTTACTGCTCGCGTTCAAGGACGACGGTGCCTAGACGAGTCGGCGGAGTTTGAGAGGGAGCGGAAGGTGGCTGTTGAGGAAGGTGGGGCAGAAACCACTGTTTACTCACGGAATTGATCTGAAAAGTCGGGAGTCCCTTCTCTGAAACCCCACAGAACCACAGGTCTCCCCATGGGGTGGTTTAGGTTGGTGCATTCGGAATATCAAATGTTGGGGCAGGCCACGCCTCCGCCGGCTATGCGGTCAGAGATGTGCTGCGCAGAGGCCCGTATTTGCAAAATCTCCATCGGCCTTGGGGCTTCATTGTGCTTTGGTCGGGCAACCCAATGGCACCAAAACGTTTCGGTAGGCGGCTGCAGTTCTTGGCACGGGAAAGGGTCAAGGTGAGGTCAAGAGTTCTCCTGCCAGGCTACACGATCATGATCGCCATCGGCGGGATGGTGTCTTTTGCCGTAGCTTGGGCTGCAGTTGTCTGAGTTGGTGGCTCCGCTTCTCACGGCACGCTGTCGCACCAACGACAGACTAGAAGATGCCAGGACGATGCTGTTGCCAGATGAGATAACGATGTAGAAGACTCCGGTCAAATTATGACTCTTGCTCAAGGGCGAGCTCCACTCCAGATCACATGCCTGAGTTTCCGATACGTCTTCGTTGCACTTTAGGGGTCCGGATCTGCATTGCAGCAGTGAGCCAGTAGGATCATTTAAAGCACCACGTAGTCTTAGACAATGCAGATCGCAGAGTTGATCGGGAAGAAACACGTTGCATTCACAGGTGTTTTCATACAGCGGCCTGGTGTGGACCAACACATTCTTGGCTAAAGAAGGACGATGCTGGCCGTCGCGCGAAGAGTCTGTAGCAGTGGCAGCAGCGGCTCAGCATCAAGACACTCGAATGTTGTTTATGATTTGCCATTCTGCTTCGGGTGCCCAGATCATCAAAAGGGTTATGGCCACCAGACATCTCAACACACACACACATACACACACACACACACACACACACACACACACCCACACACCCACCCACCCACCCACCCCTCCAAATGTGTGGCACAAAGCCCCAAACCCCCGAACCCCGAAAGGCTTGCGAGGGCGCAGGAGCCCAGGGTACCAGGTGGGTGAGGTCGAGAGTACAAGAGGGAAGAGGAACCACACCACAAACAATGTGGAGACACCAACCCCGCTCGACATGTGTGCGCGTGTGTGTCGACCCTGCGACAGGGACCATGCAACATTCTTGAACATCAAGAAACCGAAGCCCTAAGCCCGATATAACTAGTCGGGAATTTCGGGAATCCGCTGCGCAGATCTCATGTTGCAGGACATCCAAGAGATCAGCGCATGATGGCGGGCCTGGCAGCCCGCCTCATCCAGATGGTGCTGGCAGTGCCTGTTGGCTGGCTTGCGGACATTTGGGGCGACTTGACATTGAAGGGTTAGGGGTTCCTGGGTTCAAAACGGTTTAGGCTTCAGGGCAAGTGGCAGTTGACTGCCCTTGGTCATTGCATGCCATGGTCTGGCGCTCTAAAAAGAACAAGGTGTCGGCTCCGTGACTTTCCTGTCCGGGGCGGTGCAGTTTGTTGCAGCCTTTCCGCTGTTTGCGTGGCTGCAGGCCCGGCAGGTCTTCGAGCTGTGAATTTGAACATGCTGGCACGTTCAGTGAATCGAGAACAGGTAGGGCTTCTTCACTCTTCACAAGTAGCTGAGATAAGCAATCGCTTGACCTGGCTGGCGGTCCTGTTATGCTGCTGGCCACACTCCTGCCTACAGAGGTCAGTCGATATGCTTCAAGTGACATGAGTGGCCTCTTGCCTTGCAAGGCTAACTCGACAAGCTCCACGGCCGCTGGATTGACATTCAGTGCATTTGCGAGAGCTTGCTTCAGCGATCGGGAACGGTCCAGGGTTCACTTGTACTCGCAGTGCCCGTTGCCCGTTCTTTGCTTGCGAAAAGAAGCGACATGTGCTACAGCCCATGGCGACACCTCTGCCCAGTGTCAATTGGGTGAGGGCCGTGCTTTCTTCAGTACATCATGGCCAGAATGGTTACGGCTAAATCTCTGCCAGCCAACGTCGGTGACCGAGGTTATGTATGCTGCCTATGCTGCCGGTTGCTTGGACCGCCATTCATCCAGTTGCCCGTTAAGCTGACCGCTTGGAGTGCACGTCACATGAGTAATTAGTACGCAAGCCAACATTCCTGTTCCATCACGACGCCTGGCCCGCTTAGCCTCACTGTTGGCGCGGCTGCGCGCTGACAATGCATCATGCTGTGAGGCTTCGGCACTATTGGCGCGCTTGGGGGCTCGACTTTCAACATGCAGCTCGCTTGCACAAGGCTGCTCTAGCTGGGATTGGTGGTTCATTCCGCGTTAAGCACTGGCCAAATCCAAGCCGGCTCCGGTGCCGTCCCGAATACAAAAGGACCCAAACAACAGACCCTAGTTTGCTCAACAATTCCCACTTGCTCAGAGGCATGGCTGGCGCTAGAAAAACTCAGGTACGTGGCGGAGCTATTTCCGACCCGCACACGCAATCTTGGAGTTGGAGTAAGTCACCTGGTATGGCAGAGTTTTTTCTCAAGAGTTTCAAGCAAGCTTGGATCAAGATTGTTCGCTTGAGGAGTTGCCCAGGTTGAGGGCGCCTTTTGTTGGCATAGTTGGTCGTCGATGTTTGCTGAATGGCACGTCTCTGGGCCTTAGATCGGATGGGATGTGTCATGTCTCACACCACAGAATGTGCCCTAAGGAATGTGGGGGGTTGATGGGTGTATTCTGTATGCTGTTGGTACTCTCCAAGCCGGGCCGTTCTTGCTGCACGTTGTAGGGTAGGCCTGTGAACTCAGACCCTCACCTGCCTGTGCTAGCCTGTGAGCATGAAGCCCCAGCTCTTCTAACCAATATGCCATGGCGGGGTTGTCAAAATTATGATCTCATTTGGGGTGCCCTAGATATTAGGTGCCGTATTATAATAGGGATCCAAAAAGGGACCACGACCACCCAAATAGCGGAGGAGGTTGAAACTGGCTGGAGGAGTTGATACCTTGTCCTGCGGCGTAGCGCAGCTTTGCGGCTGAGGCTACAACATCGGCATCAGTGTTGTCGGCGGCTTCGGTCCTGTTCCTCGGAACTGGAAGATTCCCCAAAAAACTCTTTGATCCAACTAGTAACTAGTTAAGTTCAAGCTACTTTGCCGTAGTTCATACTTGGAGAGTGTCGGTGGCAAAATTATGGCAGAGCTTCCGCCTGCAGGTGCTCTGCAGCACTCTCCTAACATGGTCGAGATATGGACCCGGAGGCCTTCACAATGAGTCACCATCGGGATCAATTTCTGCGGGGCATGAGAGTGCCAACTGCATGAGCCGCGACACGCCGCGATATTCCGGCGCCTGCGAGGCCTCATGTCATTGGCCGGCATCATCACGTGCGTGCGGCTCGGCTTTGCAAAAAAGGAGTGGGGGATGAGCAGGTCGCAAGTGCAGCATACACACGATGCGGTGGCTTGCGACGATAAAGAATGGCAGCTTGTAATGCTTTGAGCGAAGCTTTCTCCAGACTTGAAGTCACTGCAAGGACTATCCCGCTAGGAGTGCGCCTACACCAAGCTGGGCTCATTCGCAACCCGGCGTGTTTAGGGCAACAGTTTCATTCGTCTGTCTTTTCAGTAGCTGCAGCAACGTGTTATGCCAGCCACGGCTGTAGCTAAAATGGGTAAGACGCAGCAACCGCAAAAGGAACCTGAACACCGCCAGCTTCTCAGGTATGGCACACGTGCGTGTGAACCCATACTGGGCACTTTGTGTTCCTTGCCTTGAACTCCGGCATGTTGCCACATATGCCTGACAAATGCCTTGTCAGCAACTGTGCAGACCGCGTGCAAGGGACAGGCGAGGCAAGTAGCATGGCAGAAGCGCTGGTCCGGAGTTCTGCTCAGGAAGACCTACGAGAAGATGAGAAGACTGAAGAGCAGTCCTCATTGGAATCGTCAGGTTCAGAGACGTCGGAGGAGTGAATTTTGCGCCCTGGTGGCTGTCCGGGCTGCACAGTGCACGGACTCGAATTTGGCAGCCCGGCATTTCAACCAAAAGCAAGACATCAACCTTCAACACGCTTGCGGCGCGTTGCCCCGAGGTTTGGCACAGTTTGGATATAACATAGCACCGGGGATCGGAAGGTCACAGCCCAGATATCACTGTCAGCGAGAGTGGCAAGTCAGTTCACAACGAGGAGGTCGACAGGGTTGGCTGAAGGTAAATGTCTTTCTTGACAACCGAAACGCAGGTTTCGTGCACCCATCAAGGTTTTTTAAGAAAAGCAACATGCATATCAGGCGAAAGGTCTGTTTGGAATAAGCCGAGAGTCCAATTAACTTAGCTAGTGGCGGGTGAGCGATTCGGTGGACTGTCTCAAGGGTGTGCGCAAGTGCCTGCATCACCTAAAGCCGTATTCGCAGTGATGGGCCACTCCGACTGCTTAGAGTTTTGCGGGCAGCTACGGCCAAGCTGGTTCAAGCATGCCCAGTTCAGCAAAGACTCAGTCAAAAGCTCCATCGTGTTGGGCCCATCCGTTCCTTGGCCTGGCAGATGCATCTAGAAGCCAAATCCTCGTACTGCTTGTAACGGGATGTTCTCAACTGCGTTCAGCTAAAGTGCTTTCGTCCTTTCCATGGCTGGTCTGCGTTAATGCAAGACTCCACGGAAGACGTCACACTGAAGGCAGACTGCATCAATTGTATCTGAAGTTAGGTTGAGCGACTTGCAATTGAAGAACTGTTGTATGAATAGCTTGAAGCTCTAAACAGTGCGAGAGGATTGCTGGTCGCAAGATAGTGTGCAAACCGATGACTTCCAGAGTCAAGAGCCAGCTTACCCAAACCACGCAGCAGTCGCGCAGTCCATTCTTGGGCAGGCTTCGTCTGGCAACCCTGAAGCTCTCCGGCCTCATGCCAGCTCCAGCTCAGGGCGAAAAGGACCGCGGGGAAGCGTATGGAAAGGTACACATGTCCGTGGAATGTGCGTGGCCATGTTGGACCACCTTGTGCTCCGCCCGCAAAGCACAGGGATGGCAGGGCACGAGCAGTGGGGGCGCACGCCGGTCATGTCGACAGCATTCAAAGGGCCGCCGGGCCGCCCGACATACACATCGTCACGATGGCTTCACACATGTCAAAATGTTGCTTCGTCAGGTGAGGATGAGGACTCGAAGCCGTCTAAATAGATTCGAAAGCAGATGCTGAAACGTGATTTTTTCAAGCACGTGCGGAACTGTGGCTTAATCTTTCGTCAGGGTGCCACTCACCGAATCGACCAAATTGGAGTGGGAAGGAAGGTACACCCTAAAACTTGAGGAGGCCGAGCAGGTACCTGGCCGCCGCCGCTGCCGTTCTGGCAGTCCGACGAGGCTTGGAGATGACAGCACGGGGACTGCGGGTGCGGAGTGTATGGTTAGGGATGCTTTGGGGTTTTGGGGAACGGTGCAGTGTGTCTGCGTGTGTCTGTGTGTGTGTGTACATACCTTCATGCATATGTATGTATACAAATACATATTTACTTATGTATTGTTTATATGATATTGTATACATGGGACGGCGCTGAAGTTTCGACGAACATGTTGTGGAGTCGAGGACATGTGCGTTTTATAGCCTGCATGGCCCAGAAATTCATCCACGCCAACACGGTATTACGGTGTTTCTACGGGTGGAGTCCTGCTGTGCTCGGAGTCTAAGGGGGATGGGGGCTTGGTCTGGCCACGATCTCTAAACCCTAAACCCTAAACCCTAGATCATGGGTGGAACCTTCGTCCTACCTGAAGAAGTGGTATGCTCTTTGGGCTCCTTCGAATGCTGAATGCCTTCGGCGTCCTGTGCAGTTCAGTTGCTTCCTCTTCACAACAAGATATGCCCATCTGACTTTGGGAGCTCCCGAAGCGTTAGTATCTGTGTGGCGCATACGGGTGTATATTGATGAGTTGCGTGGGCCAGCTTCCATTTCAGAGATACTGGTAGCAATAAGTTTGTCATATCTCCCACAGGAATGGGGCGGATTGGTGAAAATGCAGGGCCACGCGTCAACCCAGTGGGCAACGTTAAGTATAAGACTAAGTTCCAAACAATGAGATGCTCGACGTCGTCCTAGTTCCTGACCATGCACCCAACAACACATACGAGGAAGTTGGGTTGCTGTTCAAGAGCATACAGAAAGCCCCATCATGTCGAGGAATGTATAGAAGTACATATACAGCTCGCAACATGGTCATGGTATTCTCTTACTTTGAGGGGAATCCTTGCAGTGAAGCACAGGCCAAGGAGCAGGGTGAAATCCGGGCAGGAGTCCCTTACAGAAAAGCAACAAAGCACATTTTTCCTCATGGGGGGGTTGTGGGATGCAAACAGGGGACCTTTCAAAAACCTTTTCTATTTGGAAACTCCCATATTTGGCACCCGCTGCACTATCCACCCTCCCTAAACCCCAAACCCAAACCCGAAAAAGCAAAAACCGTGCGACTTTGAGTCAGCTAGGCGGGTTGGAAAAAGCCCTAAACTCAGAATGAGGGCCCTATAATATATATATATATATATATATATATATATATTTCTATACTGCGCCGGGCCAATAGTTCGACCCACCGACATCTAGAAGTCCTTACACCTGTTCCCCGCCCTCTTCCCGATAGACTCCTGCCACAAGTGAGCCTGGGGGACTCCTCCGGAGCTTCTATAGTACTATATTTTCAAAACGGGGTATTAATTTCTCCGCTGGCAGGCGTAGGGAGAAGTCCACTTCTCGGCACTCCGCGACTCCGAGCAAGTCTTCACTTTCTGCATGCCATCCAACAATTTGTGCTGTGGGTCGAAACTTTCGGCCCGGGGGTGTATATATATATATATATGTTTGTATTATATCTACCCTTTAAGGGATTATATAGGGCCCTAATCCCCTCATTCCCTACTAAGAACCAGCCAGTTTCGGGCGCGCAGGTGCTGGGCGCCACACCCTGGCTCGAGGTGGTGGCGCCGGCCGGGAGAGCCTTGGCCCAGCTCCAGGCAGGGCCAGAAGGAATAGTATCGTATAGTATAGTATAGTATAGTATAGTATAGTATAGTATAGTATAGTATAGTATAGTATAGTATAGTATGATATACATATATATATAGATATTAATTACTCTATTCTATATTGTACCATGTTGTGACATATTGTATACATCTATGTATTAGGGCCTCTGGGCGTGCTTTGCACACAGGCGTTCCCACATGACGCATGGCGGAAGATCTGACTGATGAAGATTAGAGGCCCCTTTTGGGGTACCCTCAACTACAGGGAACTGCAATGGGTACCCCCCCAAAAGGCCAACATCAGAATCAACCCCCAAGCAGTGTCCACCAGCAGGTGGAGCTGCCCAGGAATGGCCGTGCAGACTCTTGGCTAGCTGCACCTGTCGTAGCTGTCTTGGGTTCTCTGCGACATGAGGGAAGGATCGTCCGAACCATCCATCCCCCTGGCTGTGCCAAAGGATGGGTACACTCCAGAGCACGTACAGCTCTTTGTGGCACAAGAAGGCCAGCGACTCAGGCTGTGGGTTCTCTTTGTTGCAGCTTGACTCAGGAGGCACGATCGGCATGGCAGTGCAGGGGCGGCAAGTGCATTACGTTCACAAGCATGATGAGGCGAGCCACTGGGGGAGGCGCCCATCTTCGAGTCTGAGCAGATGCTCGGCCACAATATGCCACAGCGGTCAAAGCGCGGTCCTAGATTCTAGATGCCATGGCGACCCTCAACCCCAAGGCGTATGGAGAACTGAAATTCTGGAGGAATTCGCCTCAACATTCGCCATGCTATCACGACCTCCTTTTCTTTTCCATGTCAAGGTTCTGGTCCTTGGCTTTCCAAGGGGAGATGGTAGCCGTCCCTCCAAAGCCACTGCCGAACAGGACCATGCCGCAAGGCTACAAACGGAAGGATGAAGCTTGATGAAGTTGCCTTTGTGCGGCCACTGCTTTCTTGAAGCGACAGCCATCTTGCTAGGGCGTGCGGCCAGCGGGAGTGTAGTTTGCACTTGGCGTATCCGTGAACAAGTTCATGCGCTGACAGGATCTGCCGGGCTCGCCTCTGCATGAAGCGCGCAGCAGCACAGGGTGGCCCCAATGTACCCTGGCAACAATGCCGCAAGCCGAGTATAGCCGAGTCTGGAGCGACCCCTTAAGGAAGGTCGGGGGTGGGGGCTTATGTCTTGCCTGAATCAAGCACTTCTTCCTGGCTTCAAAAAAAAAAACAGCTTCCGACTTCACCTCCTTGCGAGATTCAGGGTGTAGGGTATAGAGCCAGGCCTCCAGCCACCCTGAGCCCAAAACCCTGTCCGAAGGTGCGCATCCAGAGTATCCGCGTGCTGACCCGGAGGCCGGGGGAGCCGCAACCGAGCAGAGAAGTTTGTGCACTTTCTGGCTGATCCAAGAATGGTTTCGTTTCTGTCCGAGCGGAAAGGAGGGAAACCTTGCTTAAGCAGTCTGCAGCTGGGATGTGCGGAACTGTAGGATGTTTTTTGTTTGAACGATGTCTTCGCAGCCCTTTCTGTGCAGACATTCTGAGATTCTGTCATGCTCTAATCTTTTGTTGTACCTTGGGTATATCCTCTTTGTGAGCAAGCATTCCTCAGCCCGTGCAAGCCAGGCTGAAGCGAAGTCGTGATGACGGCGTGTTCCTGGGAAGGAGGCTGTGGCACGACTCGGACAGGGGGATCAAAAAATGCGGGACGACACCTTGCGAGGGACACTAAGTTTGGGCCAGGTGATGGTGGGCAGAGTCAAGTCGCGAGTGAATCATGGGTCATTCTGTGCAAGAAGCTCTCCGGCTGCCACAGAGCTTCCACCAGGACTTCACGGACTGCGTGCTGCGCTCCGAAGATGGCCTGGAGCAAAAGGTGCACAAGGCCACGATAGGGACTTGCACGACTCCTTGGGGAAGTAAAGTAAAGAGCAGATTCCAAGAACGCACTGCATGCCTGCACAGGTGTTCTTGTTTACCTGGCAAGTTCAGTCTGTTAGCCCTCTTGAAGGCCATTCTTGCGAATGCTTCGCCCGTCCTGAGTCGAATGCTACGATCCGCGACCAAGGCCCATGGGCACCAGGAACGGAAGGCTTTATTGTCCTTGCACACATCTTTCAGAGTCATGGCAGCTCCCCAGCCTCATCGAAACCCAGAAGGGTCTAGCATGTTGCAATGGCATGTTTAGGGTGCGCTGAGATGTTGACAGTGGTACAGCGAATCCATGAGTCGTGGCTGATGCGATTTGGGGCCTTGGGGGGTAATCCCGTGAACTTTAAACACGGAACAATACGTCGCTGACATACAATCGAAGACCTCCAAACTTTACAAGGGCACAGTCCTAAGGGCCTAGGGCTTCTAACCCTAAACCCTAAGGCCCTAGGCCACAAGCACTGGCATACCGTCCATGCACAATAGCCAACATGGTTTAGGGTTTAGGGTTTAGGGAACCTGGGGAACTGAAAGCATCGTGAAAGTGCAATTTCCGAAGCAAAGTCATTTGCGAAACCATCAGGTAGTTGGATGGCCTTAGCCCCTTATTCGGCAGCATTCCCCCATCGACTGCATGCGCAAAGTCACTTAGTGGTATGAGCAGGCCAAGTCGCATTTCCATCTGTGCACAGGAAGGCGAGATTACACTTCCGTGCAGTGGCGAGGTGGTGCGGGCTCTACTGTGCCTCAGCTGGCCAATGACTAGCGCGAGTCCATAGCAGTTATATGCAAGTTTAACATATTTTAACGGTACACGCCTGGGGCGGCCTTTACTGAATGGCATCTTGCGAGCTGGCTCGACACGACATGCAGCTGGCTTCTGCAGCCCAAGCCCTGATGCCGCACCTCCCACCGCCACATTGCCCCAACTGCCCCCTGCCCCTGGCGCACCGTCCGCTCCGTGTGGGAGGGCGAGGGGATCAGTTGAGAATGGGTTGGTGTGGTGGGCGTGGTTTTTCATGCATTTGGCTAGTTAGTTATGTTTTCCAGAAGCCGATGTGGAGCAAACCGATTTTTTGGGCGACCGTCCCGATGGTCGGCCCCAAACTGTGCCCAGGGCTTGGGAGGAGGTGGTGGGTACCTGAGGATGCTCCACAGACTCCTTGGGCCCGACCCCTCGGTGGATGATCCCCGAAACCCTCAGGCCGCGCACGAAAACGTTTTGTTTGGAATTAATTCGTATGTATTTTATTACCCATATTGGAGTAGGCGAGCAGTGTGCAGATCACCTGCCCTTGTCAGTGCAGCGCATGCCGAGTGTGCAGAATTCGTTTGTTATTGTCTGCCTTCCTAGGAAGCACTGCTACGGTCTGTTCCCTGACATCCGCGCCCTGAAAGTGGAGGCCACGTAAGGTCATTGTTGTGGAATGTCGTATCGAACTTCATGGGATTCTTCTTGAACGAGGGATGTGAATGACTGGAAGTGCGCAGTGAAACGCTCGGTTTTAAGAACCAGTGGCCGTTCAAGAGGAAGGCGTTAGACCATCAGAAGGTGCCCTCTTCAAAGTACGCAAGTTGCAATTTAAACAAATCATCGCAAATGCCCAGCATCTGCCACCACGCTGATGTCGTGATGCGTCACGGAGCGCAGAACCTTTGGAATCAGTCCAGAAAGGGTGCAGCATGTGCGGTCAGGATGTGGTATCCTTAGTGGAACAAGCCCACGCCTTGGAGCTCACTTCGTTGTCGGAGGACCTGTCGTGATGGCGATGCCTGCATGTTGTCACTTCTGCTTGTCATACAGGCGCTGCAATCTCGCAGGAAGCCGTGTTGATGTCAGGGTGGGCGATATTTTTTGGTACCTTATTAGGGTCCTTACTACAAGGGAATCCTACTACTTGGGGGGTCTATATTAGCGTCCCCTATTTTCGTAAACCCCCATATCAGGGGTGAACAATTTTCCGGCTGAGTTGCCAGCGGCTGGCCACGCTTCCCGCGCAGGATGCTGCAGTTGCGGCCACGCAGTGCCTGACCCCAGAGACTGTCGTCCCCTTGATGCGAGGCGCGGTGGGCTCTGCACAAACCACAACAAGCTGATGTTGAGGCAGGCTTGATCAGTTCCTGCCATATGCCCACAGGCCTTACGGATTCCATGTACTGTATATATGTTGGCCAGGCTCAAAACAATTGATCTGGTCCACCTGGCTGTAAGTTTGAAGCAGCTGACTCTGGGCCTCAAAATGTCCTTCTGACCCCGTGTTGCCACACTGCCAGACTCCCTATTTTGGAGGAAAATGTAGGATCGCGTGGCTGGTTGTCTTGTTCTGAGGGCACTTAGGGTTATGGTCTGAAACTTAAACAAGATGAAGCATATGGAACAATGCTCAGAACTATCTGCAGAACTCATGCAGAAAGTGGTCATGCTGAGATAGGCTCACATGGACCTGTATGATATCAGTACGTGGCCCGTACCATATCCGGCCACACCCGGTCTCAAGCCTCAGGGACAACGAAAGCTCCGACCCTGCAAACCCCTACGAACTAGGCACCCCGAGTCAAGAAAAAGGTTGCGGTGCAGCCTTCGGAGGTTCGCAAGAGAACAGGGCAACATGGGGGCTAACGCGTAATCCCTAAGACAAAACGCTGAGACGTCTTTTGTCCGCCAGGGGATCAAAGGAGTCCCAGGGGCTTTTCGGGCGGTTTTGACGTCAACACCCCGTTTTTGCTCTCAAAATTTGTCGATTCCCTGGCCAACCACCCGCCCCCTGCACGGGCAACGGCCTCGGCTGAGATGCTGCGCGAACGAACGGAGATCCACACCTTGCATCGCTCCTTCTTTACCCTTCTGTCTTTCCGTTTCTCTTGCCGGAGGCCTGCGTGCATTCTACAAGGCTGGATCCCTGGTCGAAGAGTGGGACAACCTGGTGCGGCAGGTCCGGGCGAGACAGGACACCCCTTTGTACCAGCTTGTGCCCAGCAAGAATGCTTGAAGTGGCAGGAGAGGTGGACTCAAGCTAGCCAACGCCAGCATGACACTGGTCTCATGGCATTCCTTGTTTTTTTTCCGGAGCTTTGTCAATGAAAGTGCAGAAGCGAAATGCAGGACCTCTCGCATGCAGCCCTGCTTGGACTCTGACTGCGCACCAGCACAGGACTTGGAGCTTCCGTTTTACACGTGGTGTCACGCCCAGGGCTTCTTCCGTGAGTTGTGTACCAGCACTTTGCTCCAAGCCCAGGTTACACCCGCGTGTACAGGTTGGGTGAGCTGGGAAGCATTTATCACCTGTCTCAAAGCCAGACTGTCTTACGACCATGGCCACGTCATAGTTTGCAGATGCAGCATGTAGTGAGAAGAAGAAAGAAGTAGTTGCTGTTGTTGTTGTCAACATTGAGAATCCACAATTCGTCCTCGCAGCGCCAATGATGTGCCACATATCGTTCCGGAATGTGTTTCACACGCGGCCAGATGGCCTGGTTGGATACCCCATTCTGTTGCATCAGCACGGCACAAAGCCACTTCCCTGTTCTTCAGAATGCCGATCGTGCGTTCCTAACCACTTGCTAGGACCGGCAGAAAGAGAGCATAAGAGTGCATAAGGGAACAGAACACTCTGTGAGAGGTTTGGGGCATTAATTCTGGTTCTCGCCTTGGCTCAGACTCGACCAACCGAACTGCGAACCAAACAACTCCACCAATCCTCGCCTGACTTCACGCCGTCATGACGCCTCGATATGTGGCTCTCCTGCTGTGTGCCTCGGCAACCCTAACTCCTTGCTTCTCTAGCTGTTAAGGCTTGTAGGATGGTAGACATATGACTCCAAGGATTGTGGTTGCAAAACCTGTGAAGGTCCAAAGGTTTCCACAGAAGAAGCTGTTCATCACTGCTTGCTCAACAGCATGATGACGGTTCAGGTGCTGCCAGGATGTGCTTGGCTGCATCCTGCGATGCACACAATGAGGCCTCTTTCATGCTCGCCCTGAATCCCCAGGATGTCGAACATTCGGCAGTTGACAGTCTCGGTGAATTCATTACTCTACGTTGAGATCTGGCTCCGAAAGAGCCCCTAGAAGAGCGAGCTCGAGTTAGCTGGCTCCGGGGTGGGCACAAGCACAGTGTCCTCATGTCCAGTGCATGTGTAAGATGCAGAGAACTCGCAAGCTCCGAATCAGAGCGAGAGCAAAGCGTGATGGCAGGCTTGTGATGCCGAAGACCATGCACTTCTGCAGCACGAAAGAAACCCGAGGTCTGGGGTCCTGGCAGAGAAAGTAGGTCCTGTTGGTGCCGAAATCCGAGAAAGAAAGCCTGAACTTTCCTATCCAGGTTCAATATCCTCCAAGTGAGCGAAGCAACAGTGCGAAAGGCCAAAAGATGTGCACGCGAGTGCCTCCCTCTCGCTTTTCCTGTTGCTACACACCACAAGTGCCACTAGCTCTGTGGCTCTTCCACGGCTCAGCGCTCCAGGTACACCACCAAGCTCCAGGCGATGAAGCTCTCCACCGAGTACAGGCCTCTTTTCTGTCCCAACCATGGAGCATCTGATTCGATTAGGGGGCAGGGGGTGGGGGCCTTCGACGCATCTTGCAAGCGCGGCTCAGGTCAATTAGGTACATCTTGCCTGCAGTCTGAGGTGAGATCGGTAAGGGCAAAACCAGGGCAAAACAAGCGGCGCGCTCCGTCAGGACGTGCGCTCGTATGGCACTCTCATTTCTGGCACAAGGCCAACTCCATGGCGCAATTCGACAGCGCTAGCCCCGCAAGCAAGGCAACAGGCACTTCAAAACCTGAGATGCGATTGTAACCGTTAAGCCGTTAATCCTTTCTCTCGAACTCTACCAGCAGGGCTAATTGAGTGGCCGCTCAGGTGCTGTCTAGTCATGATGCAAAGTTCGGTCGCGCCACTAGATTGGCCTTGTGTTTTCCGGACCAAGTGATACAAAAACAAACGAAACACGTGCTGTGGCAGGTCTTCGTCAGAAAAATCGGACAAAGCATGCTTCACAGACACATACCATGACGCGACAGAGCTTTCTGAACCCTCTGTTGCCCAGCGGCAAGAGTGGGGTTGGGTTGAACTGACACCAGGCAAATGCACGGACGCTGGAAGACCATAGCTTTGGCAAACGCAATTTTGCAGTAGCATCCAGCAGCCCTGTCTTTGCCAGGCCATGGGCATTTCGCCCGAGAATGCCTACGTCTAGCTGCCGGGTTGCACATGAGAATTCTGCACCTTGCCATACCCCAGAGAAAACATTGGTGATAAGAAAAAAGAAGAAGAAAAATGAAAGTCGCCATTTCAACTCGGAGTCGTCCATGGCAGGGGTCGCACCGCGCCCAAAAAAGCTACATCGCTCTACCCGGCCTCAGACATCAGAGACGACAGCTCTGTGTTGAGTGGAGGAAGAGCTGAACGAGATGGGCGCAACGAAGGGGTTTGTGTGTTCGGAGCATCCAGATGATGCAGAAATTGGTGTTTTTGTTGCGTGTCTGGTGTCTCGTAGTGCTGACATGCTGCGATGGTCATCGAGTGCCTTTTTAGATCGTCGAGATGCTGGAAATAATAAGAATGCGATGTTTGTTTGGAGCGTGCAGCTTCTTTGAAACTTGGCATTTAATTAGTGTTTTCTCAGCCTGACATCGGGAGCGGAGCAATGGGGCGCATGTTTAGACGACGTGAAGGGGCCAGATGAACTGCTCACGGGTCTGAAGCTGACCCAAGTGCCGCACCACTTCAAGCACGACTTCGGAGCATTCGTGGATGCGAGTTCATTTTCTGACATCCTCGTTCACCCAGCTGAAAAGAAAGATGATGAAGACCCGAGCTGAGGCCGCAACTTGGTGATTGGCGCCGGCATGGGCACGACGGGCACGCACGGCACTTTGGCTCGGTGAGAGTGGGAAGTATGCCGCAAAGGACCAAAGTTTAGGGTTTAGGGTTTAGGGTTTAGGGTTTAGGGTTTAGGGTTTAGGGTTTAGGGTTTAGGGTTTAGGGATCCAGGAGATAAAGGGCATGAGATTGGAAGTCAATCACTCACCTACACTGAGCCGAGGGGTGGTGGTCGCCTTGGAAGAGCTCGGCTTGCACGGACACCGCATACCCGCAAGTATGCAAGCCATGACTTTTTTCCTGTTCGTTGTTAAGTGATTCTGTCTGGAAAATGGCAAGTTTTCGGAAACTCTGGCCTCTAGTCACTGCTGACCAAAGTCAACTTCCCGCGCGCGAGGGCCGTATGTGAGGGGCCAGCATGGGGGCAGAAAGTCCGGAATATGGTAATTATTTTTCAAGTTTCAAATTCGTTTCCATAGTTTCAAATTAGTTTCCAATCAGTTTCAAATTAGTTCAAAATCCAGTTGCAAAATCGCTGTTAAGGGGGAATTGCAGTTTTTGTCCGCGCTTTTTGAAAACCAGGAACC